GTTTAAAAATTATTACAATGAGAAGCAAGCAGAAACTTTCTTTTCACACTGGCCTACTTTCTTTCATTTCAAAATGAACTAAGTCAAAATGTATGTCCTGCATGTTGAGTGGAAATCCTGGGCCTTAGCTCCCACAGATACATACAGATGTTGATGACACAGTCTCATAAAGTCAACCCTGTATGAAATTAAACTTGGCTCAGTTCTCATTCTCAACATTACAAAATTAAAATAATTAAGGAAATAACTAATGGGAAAAAATACTGCTGAAAGGAATACCACTATGGAATTTTGAACAAGTGACCTCTACAAACGTAATTAAAAGCAGAAGGAAAAGCATTACTATTATAAATATTTGTGTGTTCCCTCCCTCACCATGCATATGTTGAAACCTAACTCCCAAGGTGACAGCATTAAGAAGTCTTCTTAATCTACAGAACTGTGAGAAATATGCTTCTGTTGTTTATGAGCTACACTCTAAGGTATCTTGTTAGCTCAATCAAAACACACTAAGACAAGTGCAAATTTGATATTAATATCATCTAATCTTTGAGATGAAGGTAGCAGAAATCTATAAAATCTGGGAGCTAAAAAGGCAATCTTGGTCTTCTCAAACTATTCACTTTTAAACAGTTTTATTAACAATTAACTTAGATACTATACAATTCACCCATTTAAAGTACATATATCATGTTGTTTAAAGTACAGAGACAGGGTTGTGCAACTATTTCCAACTCTAATTTTAGGACATCTTTGACCCCTACAATGAAACCCATACCCATGGGCATTCACTCACCATATCATCCCAACCCTATGCAACTATTAATCTACTTTTTGTCTCTCTATATTTCCTTATTCTGGATATTTCACAGAAATTGAATAATAGGTGATCTTTTGACTAGATTCTTTCACTTAGCAAATGTTTTCAGTTTATTTATGTTATAGCATGTATCAGTACATCATTCCTTGGTAGTATTATTATGTAGTATTCCTCTGTATCAATTTTCCACATTTTATTTACCCATCGATGCACATTTGGATTACTTCCAACTATTGGCTATTATGAAAAATGTTGCTATGCATTTCATATACACGTTTTTATGTAGAGGTATATTTAATTTCCCTTGGGTATATATCTAGAAGTAGAATTGTAAGATCATGTGGCAATTATTTGTTAAACCCTTTGAGGAACTCCCAAACTGTTTCCAAAGCAATAGATGAGGGCTTCAGTTTCTCCACATTCTCATCAACATTTATTGTTTTCCATTTTTTTTCAAGTATGGGTGTCAGGTACTAACTCACTGTGGCTTTCATTTGCATTTCTCTAATGACTAATGATATTCCATTGGGAAAGAAGAGTCTTTTCAGCAAATGATGCTGGGATAATTAGATACACACACACACACACACACACACAAAATGAAGTTGGATCCCTACCTCACACCATTAAAAACATTTGCTAGAAATGGGTTATAGTTTGAAATGGATTGAGAAGCTAAAACTATAAAACTCTTGAAGAAAATAGAAGAGTAAACCTTTGTAGCCTTAAGGTACATGTATTTTTAGTTATAACACCAAAAGCACAAATAACAAAAGAAAAATACAGATAGACTACATCAAAGATAAAACTTTTGTGCTGTCAACAATACCATCAAGACAGTGAAAATATGACCCAGGAAACATGAGAAAATATCTATAAGCCATGTGTCTGATAAGGGTCTAGCATTTAAAGAACTTTTGGAACTCGATAAAATAAAGCCAAATAACCCAATTTAGCAATGAACAAAGTGTTTGAGTATACCTTTTTCTCCAAAGAAAATGTTCAATGGTCAACTATCAGAGGAAAAGATGACCACCCTATTTATTTGTACAGATAAGGAAAGTCAGACCCTGGGATTTAAAATGATGTCTCCCAAATTAGACAGTTTGTGGACACTGAGGTCTAGATGGACCTTGTACAGGAAAGCTTTGAGCATTCACTCACCATATCATGCCAACCCTATGCAACTATTAATACAGAAAGACCAGGGTTTGTATCCAAGAATTTACTGCACGCAATTAACTCAACCTTTCTGAGCCTGATTTTCTTCTATAGTAAAAACTATTTTACAGAATTGCTGTGAAAATAAATAAAATAATATCTTTAGCATAGATCTTGGCATCTAATAATCCATCAGTACATGTGAACTCCATTCTTTACATTGATACTGTGAGCCCCTAGCATGAGCCCTCCTGATATTTAGGCACAAAGCCATCCATGGGTTCCTGACCACATGTTCTGTTAGAAATTACCCATGATCTAATCATGATCAATATGTATGACTCAACTTTGAAGGACACTAGTAATCCCAGAATTTGTCCTGGAATTTCTCTTCCTTGAGATGTTCAAATATCTGTTATTTGTTTGTTTTTTAAATTTTCTTTTATTGGTTATTTTTTGTTATACATGACAGTAGGAACCATTTGATTAAATTATATAAGCATAGGATATATCTTATTCTAATTAGGACCCCATTCTTGTGAGTGGACATAATGGTGGGATTCACTTAGGTATTTTCTATGTGTACATAAGAAAATTATGTTAGATTTACTCTACTCTTTCCTATTCCTATCCCCCTTCCTTCCTTTTTTTTCCCCTTTGTCTAATCTATTGAATTTTTCTTCTTCCCCTTCCACACCTTTATTATAGTTTAGCTTCCACATATCAGCAAAATCATTCGACCTTTGGTTTTGGGGGATTGGCTTATTCCACTTAGCATGATATTCTCCAGATCCATCCATTTACTGGCAAATGTCATAAACAATTCCTTTGAATTAGAATACAGTGGGTTTCTCACTTCCTTGTGAATACATACACTATTAACACCTCTAAAGCTCAGCAAAATGTAGATAATAATACCCACCTCATACACTGCCATGAGCTATAAATAAAATAATCCATGGGAAAGTACTTAATAGAGTGCCTGTTTTATGGTTTGGATGTGAGGTATCCCCCAAAAGCTCACATGTGAGACAATGCAATGTTCAGGGGAGAAACGATTGGGTAGTGAGAGTCTTAACCAAATCAGTGAATTAATAACTTGATAGGGATTAACTGAGTGGAAACTGAAGTGTTAGGGTGTGGCTGGAGGAGGTGGGAATTAGAGGTGTGACTTTGGGGTATATATTTGTATCTGGCAAGTGGAGTCTCTCTCTGCTTTCTGACCACCATGTGAGCTGCTTCCCTCTGCCACACACTCTGCCATGATGCTCTGCCTCAACTTGAGCCCCAAGGAATGGAGCCTGCTGTTCATAGACTAAGACCTCTGAAACTATGACCCCCAAATAATCTTTTCCTCCCCTAAAATTGTGCTGGTTAGATCTTTTACTCACAGCAGCGAAAAAGCTAACTGAAACAGTCTGGCACATGGATAAGTTTAATAAATACACATCAACATCATCTTCAACATTGTCTTACCTAACAAGACTTGATGTTCTGTTCTCATTCTGATTAGTGGTTAATTTAATTAATGTTTTACTTCTTTTTTCTCTTTTTTTTATGTGACTCAAACATGTTTTTCACTGTATATCTCCCAAACATAACATACTGTATGTATTTCATATTGTATGTATTTCAAGCCTATGAAATCTCATCCAGTTTAAACAATTTAAATCCTTGGCCTTAAGTAATTACCAAAAAAATATTCTTCCATAAGATAGGTAAAGTGCAAACACAATCTCTATTTTTTTCAAGCATGTAATACAAAAAACCTAAGACAACACATACATTAAGAGAGGTCAAATGGAGCAAACCCAGGAGTTGCTTCCAGTAAGGGCTTAGAAGGAAGGAGGAAGAGGAGTAGAGAGGGAACCCAGAAGCTTTTTATTTTGACTAAAGCAAAGCTTGCTGAATAACCAGGGAACTACTGCTTGCAAGTATCACTCATCAACTTGTTTTAAGAAACTTCTGTGTGAAAGTGCTAGAGTAGAAGAGGGGATAAAAGGGGGTAATTAAAAATATAAAAGAACTCTTAATATCATGTCATTTTAATCCTCAGTATCCTTTAAGTCACAAATTCCAAGACTTTTAATATATAAGGAAGCTGAGGTTGGTTACATAATTCTGTAGAGCACATCATGGGTAAGAGTGTAGCCTCTCAAACCAGACGGCCTGGGTCTGAGCACAGCTCAGCCTCTGCGTGTCTCAGTGACACCAGGAAAGTCACAGAGCCATTCTGGGCCTGGGACTACTTATTTGTAAGTGGCAATACTAAAAGTACTGCTTTAGTAAGCAGTACTCGCTATACATAGGACCTTCTATGTATAAAATGTATAAACATTTCATGGCTCATAATAAGTGCTAAGCAAATGTTAAATAAAAATAAAATCTTGGCTGAGATCGCCTTATAACAAGCACTAACTTTCTCACTCTTACTCATAGAACGACTTCCTGATTATCACCAGGCTTTCTGGTTCACCCGTCTACAAAGGAAGTACAGATGTGTGGTTACTCTGACCTGTGATAGTCATGCATTTCTCATCATAAATGCATCAGTGAGTTGTTCAGAGTGCAAATAAAATCTATTCTGAGCCAGAACTGAGGCCCAGATGGTATCTTTAGCAGTGACTTGCTGAGTGACTCCTAGTAGCCCTTCCAAACAATATCGCAACTTTTTGTTTAAATATCTACAACAGGAGCTACACAGGCAGGAAAAGTGTTGTTGCCTAAGAAACACTTTATTTCATTAGTAGGAAATGGTCAGAAATGACAGGTAGAAGAATATCCAGGGAAATTTGTCCCCACCAAATTCACACCTCTGCACCATACTTGATTTCAGACTAGTGTTGTGAGGGCTTATAGGAAAAATGGCCTGCCAGAGCAGGTTTCACCTGAAGAGGAGATGGAATGTCTGTCCCCACAAAGGGCCATCAGCCCTCACTGAAAAGCTAGAGCCAAGTGCCAAAGTCACAAGTGACCCACAGTCATTCGGCTGCTCCCAGGGGCAGCCCCCTCATGTTACCTTGCCCTGATGATCATGTTTCATCTCCCAGCCCCTTGGCAATTCCAGCTGTTTGTTCGCAAACATGTTGAGGAATCCCACGAGGTCCCTGTTATGCTGGTAGCGTTCAAAGTGGTGGGTGTCCCTCCGGACTTTGGTGATCATGTGCTTCAAACACGTGTTGTTTGTAAACATGCGGTAGGCACTCTGGAGGAAAGGATGGAGAACCAACATTAACCTGCTTGTGGAACGTAAAAGCATCACAATGACTACACATGGCTATATACCACATCTCCTAGTAGGTATATAAAACAGGTTCACAGGCTTCAACATGACTTCAGACCTGCATATTAAAACAACAAACAGAAAAGCACATTGAACAAAATAACAGAAGACGACTATGGGTAGAAGTTTCTCTCCGCTATTGGTGAAGAGTTTTCTAAAGAAAAAGAACACTGTAGCATCTCATTCTACACAGGACATTAGGTCCTAAAGATGGTTTTAGCAAAACATATACACAATCAAAATTGTGCTATGTTGGAGATAAATATGCCACCTCCCAGTGAGCCGTCACATACACTGTTTTTCCTCCATCATTAAACCAGAGCATTGGCTCTATGGGTGAATGCCAGATGATTCAGCTGGCGTACATTTGGGGGCCACGTTGTATGGGAAAATTTTTGTCATATATTTGAGCATTAGAAGCACATGCAATGAGATGAATTGCTTTTACTGAAGTCACCTCCAATTGCGATTAGAGTAGACTGAAGTTTTCATCTTACATTTTCTTGGAGGCATCAACTCAGTGAATGGAATAGCAGCTAGAACTGCCTGGACTGCTTATCTATTATTTTTCTCTCTCTCTTTTCCCCTATGTATGTATGGTAGAATTTATATGATGGAAATGCAAATTTAATGAAACTCCACTATACTACCATACAAAAAAAATGTTGGTTTTGTCAAAAACTCTATAGCCTTAACTCTTAAGATGCTTAAGACTCCAGAAATTGATTCTAAGTCCATGACACTATACATCAGGTATCAAACAAATATTCACTGCATAATATCATGTGCTAAGCAGCAGAAAAAGAATAACTACATAGGAGCTCTTTTCTTGAATCATCAAGAATATGATATCCATGACAGTGACTAGGTTATGAATGATGCTTCCTGAAATTCTATTCTTCTCAGGTAGATTCAAAGGGCTTTGGATTCCTAATACCTTAGTATTCAAGGATGCTAGACAGTCTAGGGACCTTCAAGCTTTACTTCATAGGTTCTATCATTTCTTTCAGTCTAAAATAGCTTAAAACAAACCCCAATCAGAGTTCCTGTAAATCAGTTCAATTTAATAAACACTTACTTTCTACTGGGCCCAATACTGCATTAGTTATTAGGGATAAACAATAAATGAGCATAAGGACAGTAAACATTTTTCCAGTCTTTCCAGGGTCTCTCAAGATGTGTCATGTCTAGCTGGGCATGGTAGTACATGCCTGTAATCCCAGATAGCAGGGAGGCTGAGGCAGGAAGATTACATGTTTGAAGACAGGCTCAGCAACTTAGTGAGACCCTGTCTCAAAATTAAAAAAAAATTAAAAAAAAAAAGAACTGGGGATATGGCTCAGTGGTAAAGCACCCCTGGGTTCAATCCCCCTACTAAAAAACAAATAAGAAAAACAAAAAATGGTGTGTCATGTCCAGCTCAAGGCATTATTGTCCATGTGAGTCCCCTCCAGAGCTTTCTTCACTTTGGCCCTGCAAGCACAGCAAGTAACAGTGTTAGAAATGGTGGCTGCTCTGCAGCCTGGGTCCCTGGGTCCCTGAGTGACTATGTGAATTGGAGAACCCCCCAAAAAAAATCTGATTTGGAGTAAGAAACAAATCTTTGTAAGCTTAAGACATTGACATTTATTGTTGCTGTTACTGAAGTATAATCTAAAGTGTTCTGATTAATTCACCATTATTATATGCTTTTTGCTTTGTATTGAAATACTTTTTTTTCCTATCAAAACATCTGAAAAGAAGGAAAGAAGGAAGGAAGGGCAAACAGAGCTGGCAGCAGTGAATCATCCTCAGATCTTAGTTTGGTAGTATACTTGAGTATAAGCTACTTTGGGGTCATATTTCAACCTGTGAGTCTAAATAAGAGGAGGTTTTGGTGGCTGAGAGCAGTCATGGTTCAGAGCACTGGATACTACAAAGAGGCAGGGCCTCTGAGCAATTAGGAAGCATGAGAGAATGGGAGAGTGATACCATGAAAACAGAGGATACTAACACAAATTAGAGGTTGTCAGAGACAAACTTTAGCTAACTAATAATTTACTCTATGGCTGGTCTTGGCTTAGAGTTTTGAGTACAATCAGCCAGCCTCTGGTTTCTACTTCTGGCTCTGAGTTCCTGACACATTTTCACATAAACCATTGCAAATGTAGAGGCCTGAGAATGAGTTTGAACAGCAATGGAAAACAAACAAACAAACAAACAAACAAAAACCTCTTGAATCTTACTCCTAATAAGTCTCTTTGGGGACAAATCATTGTAGGATTGTCCTGTTGTTATAAATGGGTGTACCTCTTGGTCCCTTTCACTTTTCCCTCCTCCCATTATAATGAAAGGCCACACCACAATTCCTAATCTAGAGCACTACAAATGCTTCTCAACCTGCTAAAGAAAAGTAGCAGAATTCTAAGCAGTTAGGTTAAGGTACTCATCCTAGCCTCAGGGTTGAAATAATTCCTGGCAGTGGGGTAGCTCTTCATGCACAGGAATCTTAAGATTCTTCTTCTAATTAATCATATCCTTTCATCTTCCCCCTCCACTCAATGAGACATGCAACATAGTGCCAGAGTTGACTAATCTTTGCATAAAGCATCTACCAAGGTAAATTAAATGCAAAAAAATATTTTTCATTATTAACTAGCAAACAACTTTTAGAATCAGTCTTTTCAAATCTGAATAAAATGCACATGACTGTCAGGGTTTATTCAAAATACTTAAGGCAAACAGGAACATCTCTCTACACTGCTACATTTTTACAAAGAAACCATTTTTTTAACATGTATGCATGTATGTATGCATATATACTCACACACACACATACACACACATGTGTATATATACACACACATAAATGTATATATTTATGTGTATGGTATATACTGTAGTGTGTATGTATTTATATAAATATTGTATAGATGTAATTGAATAGAGAGATACAGATAAAATCCAAAATGAGGTATAAATATTCTTTTATTACTGGATATTTATACTCCATTTCGTACAGCACTACAATGAGGACTCTGGTCATACCTCTATCACTTATGGACAGAGACAAGGAAAATCATTTAATTTTTGTCTGCCTCAATTGCCTCAAATATAAGATGGGATAATAACTCCCTTGTTTTTTTCAGAGGCATGTGAGATTCAAATTTAATAGAACAAAGGATGTGAAAATGCTTTGAAGAGGTAAAAATCACTATAAAATACAGAGTTCAAGTAATTAGAAGAATATATAGGGGATTATACATATCATACCTGTTTTATAACAGATAAATGATGGTAGTAAAGTTGTTTTCTCTCTTAGTCTTTGAAGATCTTGGGCTAGCATCTCACTCTCTGTTAACTAAGCAGGGTCTTCTTTCCTTTCATTAACTATGTGCTAAGCCCTGTGCTAAACCCTGAGGATACAGACCTGATCACTCAAAAGGATGGAGAGGGAAATTATAGGGGGATGTGGGAGGAAGCGGTTCACAGGAGGTAAAGAGTAGAGCTGGAAAAGAGAAGACAATGGTGGTGCAGATGCTGAAACACCCTGGAGAACCAGCAGAGCTAAGAATGTGAGTGAAGAGACACTACACAGGTGAGACTGGATGGAAAGGGTTTGGTCTTCATGGAGGCTGATGTCAGCAAAGCTGTGGTTCAAGAGAGAAGAAATCATCTTTATTCTCCCTCTGGGATTTATGGTCCTAAGTAGGTAAGGATCTTTTTCTGCATTTGTTTGTTGATTTGTCTGTCTTAAAGAAAAAGATGAAGTAAATGGATCTGAGTTTTTACCTAAAACAAAAGCAGATCAGGAAGGAGTGAGTGGCATCTCTGTTGTAACATAACTGACACAAGTGCACAGAATGATTTTACCTGGGGAGGGGTTGCTAAAGGAGTCACAGGGAGTGAAGGAGAGTTGACCAACCTTAATAGCAGATAAAGCCCCTTTAAAAGATCTCTGGAAAACATTAAGTTTTGTTTTCTTTTGAAGTGAGTGAACTTATCCTTTTTAGTTATTTCTTCTCTGTTTCAAAACTCCCTTTCCCAGCCTCTCTCTTCTTTGTTTCATGTCTGCCTAGCAAGACACTCAATGGTTGAGCCAATGACTGATTGAATTTCTTTACTGGAATTTGGTTAAAATTAAACTTGGAGCTTAAATGAATCTTGTTTGGTTACGTGTTTGAGGTTTTAGTGAAAAATAATGAAAGGAGCTGAGGAGAATGTTCTTATCATTTGGCAGCAAAATAAAAAAAATTATATATAAATAATTCTTATCCATCAACCACAATGCAAATGCAAATGATAATCCCTAGCCCACCCCCCCCCCTTTTTTTGCAGGTTTCTCTTAATAATAGACATTGTGGGGCTGGGGATGTAGCTCAATGGTAGTGTGTTTGCCTACCATACGTAAAGCCCTGGGTTCAATCCTCAGCACTGCAAAAAATAAGAATTAAAAAAAAGAATAGGCATTTTGAATTTAGGATTGGAAAATTGCATCACTGAATCTATAGCAAATGCCTCTCATAACCACAAATTCACTTGTATACATTCCATAAACAAAATTTATTACAAACAAAATCAGGAAATATTATCTCTAGAAGACACTGGTTTGGGAATGAAGAGTCCTGTCTTATACAATCTTTCTTCCTAATATTTTAAATTACAAAGAATTTTACATTGTTTTCATCTAGTTAGAAAATAAAATGGAGGGAAATTTAAATCTATTAACAGAAACAACTATAAATTATCGGTTCATATATTTTGCTATGATAGTAATTCTTGACCTGTAAAAGTATATTTGTGAATTATAGAATAATATTTTTCTTCATTAAGTGCCAAGGAATTTATATGTTAGAATTCATGTATTTCTAGTGCTTATTAAAAGTCAAAGTAATAATTATTTGGCATGTATGTTGGAAATATTACTCAGTTGCATATAATTAAGTACATTTATGCATAGTCAGATAAACACAGGCATACCAACTATGAAAGACGTGGTGACAACAACTAAATCTTGAGTTAAGAAGAAATACTTTAGTGAGACAATTTTAGAGGAAATCTGATCACAACCAGCAGAGGGCAGTAGAATATATCTGAAATCAAACCCCCATACCAAAGAAAAATATCAAAATTTTGTTTATCAAGTTTTCCTTTAGCGTTATGACACCATGTCTCTACTTACTTTTATTCTTTTTAATGAGAATTATCAGGTAAATTATTGCCACACAATATCTATTTCTTATGACTATCTTGCAACACAAACTGGTATCTTCCAATCATAGAAACAGAGAATTAGGCAAACCTTTAAATTAAAACACTCCTTTTGCATATTGAATATTCCAATAATACAAACAAGGAATATACATTAAGAATTATATAGCATAAGCAATTCAAGCAAAAGCAAAATTAAAAACATAAACAAAAAAATGAAGATAGACCAAATGAGTTGTTTTCTAACATTCTCTACTAATCTAGGAAAGAGAAGAACTCCAACAAGTAATGACTTCTACATAATCTTATCCCATTAGTGCTACCTTGAGACATTTAGCAAGAAAAACCCAACTGCTTTAATTTCTGCCGCATGTAAGTCAGGGAAATATGCCTTCTAAACCAACAGAATTTAAATCTTACAGATTTGCATAGATGTACAGCATGGATCCTTTTTTTAGCCAATAATGAATGCAGTTTGGGTATAAAGAAGAAAAAAATTGAAATGCTTTAGAAAGAGTACTTTAAAATCATGATGGGCTATCCAGAGAAATTTTAAAATCATGCTCAAATATAGAAAAATGAAAGATAACAACAAAAAGAAAACAAAGTGAGAAGAAAACCAGTTAGGTGCTTAGAATTTTCACACTTTTAAGACGATTTAGCTGTCAGAAGTCTACAAGGTGTATAGTTGTGATGTAGGCAATGGGGTCCTTTGATGCAATGTCTTGACATTAAGAGATCCCAAATTATAAGCCCCTAATTGCATCACAATTACTTAAGGGACCTTACATAAGTAAATGAATACAGACTCCTGGGACCCACTCCAGACCTATTGAACCAGATTCTCCAAGGAACAAAGAATGTGTGTGTGTGTTTTTTTTTTTTTAAGCCTTCCAAGTTTAATAATCACAGTCTTAGACCACAGCCTGGTGACTGTTATTCCAGCCTCTAATTGAAATACTGAAGTGATGAGGAACTTGTACCAAAGAAAGCAGCCCACACAGAGAAGTCAGAACCTGTGCTTGCTGAGGTCATTAGCATCTTGATTTTGGCCTTGGTGGGCGTATGCACAGTGCAGAAGTGGGTAAATACAAATCAGGGCTTGATGTATTGTTTTGTAGGCTGTTTAGATCAGCCTGACTGTGTTTGTAAACAAAGTATCATTGGAACACAGCCAGATCCCTGTGTTTACATATTGTCCTTGGTCTAAACACCTAAAATATTTACTCTCTGATCCTTCGAGAATAAAATTGGTTGCCTTTTTCTGACTTAGAAATCGATGGAGAAAATAAAATGCTACTAATGCAAACTAAACTTCAAATCATGCTGTTACATTGTGAATATCTCACACCCACAAAATGAAGAAACACAGGTCCAGTATTCAAAAACTATTATCTGGCTCAACAAAGAAGGTGCTGACCTCATTGACAAGAGTATGACTTCCCTATTTCCCTGTTTTCTTTGTTTCACTGTTGTCCTACTCATTAATGAAAACAAAAGCATCCCTCTTGGAACTAAACCGTTAATCAATTACCATTACCACTGTAGGTTGGTTACTGATACAATAGTGGGGAAAATCAACAAAAGCATTCTATGCATATTTTACTTTTACTTATAAACTGTACACTATATTTCCTTTATATAGATAAATTTTATAGTTGATATATATGTGTATATATTTTTAAAGAGAAATGCATATACATATATACATATGCACATATTTATCAGCAAACATTTATCAACAAACCCTGGAATATTATCATACAATCAGTTGCTCCTTCCTAAAGTCTTTTTCTTTCTTTTTTTTAATATTTATTTTTTAGTTGTAGTTGGACACAATATCTTTATTTTATTTATTTATTTTTATGTGATGCTTTCTTATCCCTACACTCCAGCCTATTACCATAATGTCAGCCCTCCATCCAAAACACATCACATGTTCATTTACTTGTCTCAGTGTCTACTGATACTGCACTGGTCCAAGCCACTTCTACATCTCCTCACAAAGCCTTTTCACCTGTCTTTCCAAAGCCAGGTTTGCACTTTATTACCCATTCTCCCAAAGTAGCTAGAACTTTCTAGAAATCTAAATCACCTACATAGAGGAATCAATTTTAGAATGAAATCTATTTATATTAAAGTCCAAATTCCTTGCCAGATCATGTAAGCTTTATATTCTGTATCCCCACTCAGTTATCTGAGATTATTATATGCCCCTCAAACTCCTTCCTGCCTGCAAACTACAGCTCTTTTTTAGCAAAGAAGGTTCTGCTCACAGGCCTTTACCATACTGGCTTCTTGACATTTTATGACAGCTTGAATGTTCCTAGGATCCCTGGGGAGGCCTGCCTGTCGCCTTCCTATACCCCATCGCCCTCCTCACATCTGAAACAGTTTCTGCCCAAGTGCTCTATTCCAGTGTACCACTCCAGTTGCCTCAGGCTATGATGCCTCATCTTAATTATTCTTTTTTATTCACTCATCTGTTATCTATCACTCTATTTTATTTACAACTATAACTCCACAATCTAGAATATACCAAATCACAGACTTTTAATAAATATAGGTTGACTGAAATGATAAAACAAATGAACAAATGGAAGCCTTACTCTCTGACTCCAAATCCAAAACTCTTCTCACTATACCATGATACTTTGTGTTGAGTGACAACCCTAAATGTTAGCCCTTTCTTCTTGGTAAAAAAGTCTGTTACCTCCTAGACACGAGTACACGAGTTTAGTTTTGTGTGCTCTGGCTTCTGCTCACCTTTCCACCCTCAAGGCTGACTTTTCCAATGTCCTATGCTTTCAACATATCAACAACACCAACTGGCTTTAAACTGCTATCCAATTTCTGTGCTTCTGTGATTAATAATTATCAAGACAGTCCTGCAGTGTCCTGAATATCTTGTTCCGTAAAGTACTTTTCCCTTCTACCTAGAGTGCTCTTGCCCATATTATTCAAGGACAAGCTCCAGTCCAGCCATTAAAACCTATTTCAGATGCAAACCTGTCTATGGCTCCTTGTGTGTGCTTTCCCCTCGGAGTTAATCACTCATTCCAGCATGTCTTCTACAGCTTTCCATCACTACACTCATAACTCTGATCATGGCATTGTGATGTTTTTTCAAGTCTGAGATCCCAGGGCCCATGCCTGCTCTGATCTTTGTGTCCTTAGGACTCAGCTCAGCACCCATACATAAAAGGGAATCCATTGTTGGCATGTATGGCCAGTCTAACTCCTCTCACATGATACAAGGACAGCCAGTGTGCTAGCCATTGTCACCCTCGACCCCAAACGTCTTTGTTCCAAGCTAAACCTATAAACCCAGAGATAATGATGAGTAAAACCAGGCAGATGCTTATAAAGCAAAGCCAATGAAGTAAGATAGAAATATATTAACATCAAAAAATATGGACATCCTAATGACCTCACTCAGAACTCTTGGTGTTATGACTATGCTAACTTCTACGTTTCCCATGGTCTCATCTGTTTTTCCAAGGATATATAATTTGTTAAATCTGATATGTTCTCCTTCCATTCCTCTAAGCAATCCCTCATTCTAACTTTCCATATTATTATTATTATTTATTACTTATGTGTATTATTAATATTCAGGGTCACCTTCAGTTTCTATTCTATCTATACAATCCCTACCAAGTCTTGCCAAGTTTGCTTGTGATTCCTCTGGTGCCATGCCGTTCATTCCCTTCCTCTCTATTTCCTTACCTCCTTGCCCCAGGCTCTTTCTAATTCATGCCATGACAAATGGGTTATGTCCAGCTGGGCTTCTAAGGGCAACGTTTCCCTCATCCTAGGTCACTACATGCCACTACAACATACTTCCTCTACCTAATGTCTTCAGCAAGCCATTCCCTTAGCCTTGAGAGACTTATGGAATGACTGTTCTGGTATGGTCTAAATATGTGTGTCCCCCAAAATCCATATGTTGAACCTTAATCACCAACATAATGGTTTAGGAGAGGGAAAGGGAGATGGCCTAAGAGGTGATGGGCATAAGGGTAGAATCCTCATGAGTGGAATTAGTGAAGAAACCCAAAAAGAGACCTTCAACCCTTCCACACTGTGAGGAAGCAGCATGAAGGTCCTGTCTGTGAACCAGGAAATGAGCCCTCACTTGACACCAAATTGGCCAGCACATAGAGCCTACACTTACCACCGTCCAGAACTGTGAAAGATAAATTTTCATTGTTCCTAAGCCCCTCGATTTCAGGGCTTTCTGTTTTGTCTTGTTGTTAAAGCAGCAAGACAAGGATACTTTGGACTAAGTGGGTTAAAACATGCAGTGAAGTGCTCAGATCACTGGCTGTTATTCTTACTCTCATTACATAAGTGAGCACAGGTTTCTCTGACCAGTTGTTTTCCCGGCACGTTCCTCCAGATTTGCTACTCACAGGGTTAGAATGTAGCACGGTGAAGAACTCTGGGCTGATGAGGAACTTCACAGGGGGAGACTGTAACAGCAACGTGAGCCTGGATCTGGAGGTAGAGTGGGGCAGGACATTCTCCCGGCGGAAATCTGGACAGGACAGACCACAAAGGCTTTCAAGGAAATTGTTCTGTTCACTTCAATCTGTGTTTCATAAGAACCAAACAATACCTCTATCATCTGCTGTTACTTCAACCCCCAACACTTCTTTTTTTCCTTAATATAAATTCATACATAAGACCCAACTGTTCTCAATTACACTAAAACTAAATTGAATCCACTTTAATGCATTCTTAGACTCTTTCAAAATGATCAGATTCCTCTCCCACTATCCCACAGATTCAGAGACTATGGTAATTTATATTCTATTTGTGATTCTTTTCATAGTACTAATAAAAGGTAAAGTATTTGAAGGGGTTTGTGGTAATTTTTTTTTTTGAGTTGGGTTATCAGATTTTATTGAAGATCAAGAGTTCTCAAGAAAAGCTCATATCCTGGGAAATTCTTAGTCATTTATTTCCTACTTTTATGAGTCTATAAAATCCAACGAACCCAAGGTTCTTACCTGCACTGGCTTGGTGAAAGTCGGCTTCCTCCCCCGCCCCATCAATAGCACTGGTATTTTCCTCAGGCCTCTCATTAGTCATGGTTCTGCGGATGCTCTGATAACTAAGATCATGAGTCTATAGTTACATTCCAGCAGCCTTGAAAAGGTGGGACCCAACTGCTCCCCCCGAGCCTCAAAGTTTTCACTACCTTCTTTCTCATATTCACTTAAGTCCTCCCCAGGTTCCCGTTCCCTGACCCTGTGGACCATCCATTGTTTAAGTAAATTTCAATGCATTGGATTTTTTCTGTCTATTGTTTGTGAAACATTTCCCTAACAAATTAATAAAACTTAAAAGAAAATTGTGGCCCTTCACCAAAGAAAACTAAATTCCTATATTGCTAAAGGAAAGAACAGCTTTATGTTTCACTGTAATTAGTTCTTGAAAAAAAAAATGGCTGATTGAAAAAACAGAGGTTGATAACAAAGATGCACCACAAAGGAAGATTCTCAAGATTAGAAAAGGTATTTGGCTTCAAATTCTAAACACATATGTTCTCTTTAATAAAAAACAATAGCGTGGGTTGTCTAAAAGGGTCATTACTATTTATTTCCAATGTGTGTACATATGTGGGTTTTTTTTTCCACCACCAAAAAAAGTCCAGTGTAGTCTATGAATTAAAAGAGGTTGTAGCTATACTTTAATGCCAGAACACCCTGAGATGAAAGAGACAGCTGCGTCTCATACTTTGCACCAGGTAAAACCCAACCACAAGACAAACGTTTACAAAAACATGCATCCTCACCGCCGGTTGAGCTGCTCCATTTGTTGTATGGAGTTAGATCTCTGCAGCACCTGTGGGGCTGGGGGAGCTGTCGGCCGCTGCCACGTTGTGGTTCTGTTTACGTGATCCACATAGAAGATCCTGCCATGGCTGTCAATGCGCGCCTCCCAGTCTAAACAGCAGCAAGGCACGGAGAGGAGAGGCATTAGGAGGAGGAGCTGGGGCCACTAATGTGGTTCATTAAGTTCAAGTTCTCTCTCTCTGACATGGTATAATTTGGGGCTAATGACATATACCTCACTGTGTAATCCAGCATTTCTCCCCAGTCCACTTAAGAAACTGTTGTTACTGGTTATTAAGTCTACCCTGTGTGTATAATACAAATCTCCTAAAGAACCTCTAAATGTAGAGAATCTTTGCAAAGTTGCCCATAGTTCTTGTCCTTCATATATGAACATCAGTACTTTAAAAGTACATGTTTGCATCCTAATATTCTCAACTGTCACATCAAAATTGGTATTGGTGTTTATTTTCAACCAAACCTGATTTTTCTCAATTTTTTTTCTAGGTTAGATTAAAAAAAAATTCAAACTGGAAACTTCCATGTATAAATTTACACACAATTGTAGTCAATTTAGTCTTCAGAAGAAAAGTAGCTAATTACTGCTAGCCCAGTGATCAAACAGTATCATTATCTATACACTTCAATTTGCACTTTCCCAAAGATGAACACATTTTTAGAGCAAGGACAATTTCTTCCCTCCAACCTAAAATAAATACAAGTTTTTTAAAGATTATTTAATTGTATGTTAAGCAATCACATTAAGAGTGTTAGTCTCTGCCAACAAAAATACATAAGTACATGTTCAGTAAAAACAGAGCAGACCAGTCTTCAGGGCTAGACATTCCACCTCTGTGACTCTCTAGGAGGCCATTCCCTCATTTAAATGCACAGAGCATGAGTTGTCTTCTCAGAAGGCAAATGTTTGGAACTTATTGCATTTGGAAAGGGAAATTCAAACAGGAAACATGAAAAGAGCAGAAATCTAGTCTTTAACGAGGGAAGTTCTTTATATTTTTATATATTTTTTAATTAATATACACTTTCTCCTGAGAACTCTATCTCAAAAATCTCAACATGATCACCTCACTTATCATTTGCTCTAGAAATACATAAAACATGTATTTTGACAATGTCCTTAGGGTCGAGAAGACCTGCAAGAGAGATACCAGCCGCACAGGACTGCCCCTGAGGATCACTACCTCAGCTGGGAGTTGAAAGATATCTTTGTTGATCTCAGCACACCGTAATGTATGACAAGTAGCAAAAGAAAGAAAAATTGGACCAATGAATAGCACCACACAGATGACAATAACTCAAAGCCACTGACGCGCCAAGGTAACACACTCCCAACAAACCTGCCCTTCATATCTGAAAATCTAGAGCATAGCTACCATCCCATCAATAGGACATTTCCAAAAGACCTCATATATAGCCTGTGCTTCCCTGACAAATGTAAGGACATGAAAGCATCTCCAGAAACCACACTCCAAAGCCCTTTGCATGCTTCCCATCTCATAGATTTCAAGAGTGAATTACTTTCATCTCATTTTTGTCTCATTAGAGCCAGGATAATACATGCACACACTATGTCAAATCAAGTTCACATGAAAACAAATGATCATTCCTTCAACAAGAATGTTTAGAGTAGCTCCTAATTTTAAAAACATAGAATAGGTCAATTCGAAATTAAAGAAAAAAAAAAAAAAAAAAAAAGAACAGAGCAAACTAAAGGAAACAGAAAGAAATGCTGCCAAGTGTCTTAGATAAGGTTATTACTAAATTCTGGCTCTAAATTTTTTGGCAGTTAAGGCAGAAAAGAAAACACATTGCTACATATTTTCCATTTCCTGACAAAAGAAAGTTAAAAAAAAATTCACAGATGGAACTTTTTCTTGGAAGTAACTAAACAGGATTTACCAAACAAGATGTGGATGTAGCCTGTTTAGCGCTATAAGGGTAGCAAAATAAGGGATTTGGGGACAGGTTCTCTAAATATATTCACCACTGTTCCCTTGCACGTAGCATATAATAAAGGAACAAATGATTTAAAATGGTGTAATGTTATAAAAATGTTTCTTGTATTCCCCTTCTACAAAAGCCAGAGATAACTTTTAACTTGTTTTTCAGTAAAGATATTTCTATGTGCAATAGGATGAATGAGATAATAGGACCAAAAGTTTGCTTTCTAAGAACATGGGATGTTGAATATATGTTAAGACTATCCCTATCAAATATCATATCTTCAAATTGATGCTGCTACTTAAGTCTCCATAAAAACAAATTCTATATTGCTGACTCCAAGCGGGTGCTTGGCATTGGATGTATAAAGACTTACTGATGAACTGCATATTCATTCCTACCCAAGTGATCAATACCCATCCATCCAGGCAAATCAAGAGAGGTGCCTGTGGGAGGATTAGGCCTCTGTTGTACCTATCACTTATTTTGAAGGGTATAATTGCTCTAATATCTTATACATCTTTCTTTTTTTATATTTGCATGGTTTTATTGTGGTTAAATATACATAATATGTAATTTAACATTTTAGCCATTTTTAAGCATATAATTCGAGGGCATTTCTGTTGCCAGGCAACTGTTCCCACCACTTAGCTCTAGAACTTTCTCATCTTCTCAAAACTAGCAACGTATTTTTAAATGTTATTTTCTTTTTATTAAGTAGGAAAAGATGCTGTGTTTTCCAACTTGTCCCTTAGAGATAATAAGGAGGATAATAATCATAGAACTTTCTTTAATTCTCAAATAACCTCAGGGAATTCATGTTCTGGCCTCTACTTCACAGAGGAAGAAGCTGGTAGGGGCCAGGGATGGGCATGGAGTGTGGCTAGCCGAGCTCTAAGCAATGATGTGCCTCCCAGGTATCTCCCTCTCAGCTGGTCCTCTCCACTTCCTCACACCTGGCCAGGGACTGGCAGGCTCCTGACAGGGCTCCCAGACTCGCCTCCTGGGTCTCTGGGTTAAAGTCCCTCTGCTCTACTGGGCCTGGTTGTTCTTCACACGAGAAGTCATTTTACAGAATCAAAGCTTTTTTGAAAGAAACCATGCTAAACTCAGATAGGTAAAGAAAGACAACAGGGATCTTAACACTTTCTTATCCTGATTGTACATTGTAAAAATACACAATCAGGATGCTGTGAGACCAAGAGCATTTTATTGGTGTATGTGGGTGGATTAGGATGATGCACCAAATTGAGAGATTAAAAACCCTGGTTTCTGACCATGTCTTGTCACACATAATACTACATGAACTTCAAAAAGTTACTACAACTCTACAGACCACAGTTTGTTTATATATATGTATTTGGACACAATATCTTTATTTATTTATTTACTTATTTTTTATGTGGTGCTGAGGATCAAACCCAGTGCCTCACACATGCTAGGCAAGCACTCTACTGCTAAGCCACAACCTCAGCCCCTACAGACCACAGTTTTTGAAAATTAGAGTCCAGATTTAAACATTATCTAAGGCCCCTTCCAGTTCTAAAATGCTATAATCTAGCAAATGATGCACACTTTTTTACATTAGGTTCGATAAGGGCCCAGCAATATCTTAGTATCACCTCGTATGTCTTTTGTAGAGGTTAGAATTTCCAAACTAAACTCTAATTAACTAAGCCTTACAGGTCTAGCATTTTTGGAACGTTGAGTGGAGGGACACTGGAACCACTCACCAACCCTACTTTAGCCACAGAAGCCCCAATATGATCTGTGGTGTACACTGGCATTCCACATAAGATTTTATTTACATAAAGAGATTCATGGCAATAATAGAATTTGAAATTTATTATCTAGAGAAATTATTCTCAAGGTACAGGGGGACTTGGAAAACATATGAGAATCTCTTTGAGGATCAATAAAAGTGGAGATTCCTAGGACACACTACAATCTTCAGATTCAGACTCTGAATAGAGGACTCACTTTTCTTTTTAACCTTTCCAAGTGATTCCTAAACTAAACTTTGAGAAAACTAAAATTTTAAACTAAAACTAAAAACTAGAACACTTAAAATTTGAGAAACACTGGCATATGTTAATAAGCACTTATTACTGTAGCTAATTTACTGAACAAACCCATGGAGCTAATGCTAGATTTCTTAGAGGTCATAAGATGTGGGTTCAGAAGAAGCTAAACTTCAGCCTAAGTACCCCACATTAAAATCTAGGAACAAGTGGCCTCTTTGACATCCTGAAACTTAAATATAAATACTCCACTCTAAACAGTTAAGACAGTAAGAGGAAATCTGAGATTTAGAAAGCTGGTAAAACTCTCTCCATGGCCACCACCATAGCACTGATTCCTTAGGCAGGGCACAGAGGCAGGTGGGGCAGGTAAGGTCTTAAGAGCTTTTAGAATCAACATGTGTGGGAAGGGGGCAGGGTTGTACTATTGATCCTTCTGTTCTTGTCATCATCCTCTTTCCCACTCCCTCAAACTGGACTTTGGTCTCCACTGGACCACCCTGATATTGATCAGATGAGATGTAAATTTATCTCAGCAAATGGGGAGATGGGGAGGAAGGCCAATGGCCAAAGGGAATGAGCTCCATATATATCAGGGTAAGCCAATGAACTGTATCAATCAAGGGGGAGAGAGGACTATGGGTGGAGGCTTAAATTGGTTATAGTGGACTTAATAAACCCCAATCCTGAATGGTTACATTTATAAGTCCACTATGAGAAAATTATAAAAGTATGGTATGATCACCAAAATGGCAAGATGGTACAGCCATAATAAATTAGTTTGAAGGAAAAATATAAACTTTGTGATAGATGACAGATGGTTGTGTTTAAAAGATTTCTTTGCTGTTGTTATTTTAACACTCAAGTAAGTCTGATTCCACTTATTTAAAGTGCAAAAAAACAAAACATGATTGAGGAGTCAGGATGCTAGGTCTCTTTCCCATCAGGGGGAGTTAGTGACTGGCAGAGGGCCCAAAGGGGATTTCTAGGGTGCTGGTGATGTGCTGTTTGGTTGTATAGGTATGTTCAGTTGGAAAATATTCAGGAGGCTGAATGTGCTATTTTCTGCTATATTTTATTTGAAGGAAAACGTTTTAAAAGTTCAGGTAGCTGAATATTTTGTCCCTTATTCTTTAATTTTTAAGCAAGTAGCTTTTTAGTTTAAGAGCATCAGTTTGTTTTCCTTCAAACTCAATTTTAATCTCTAGAGATTAAGAACCCCTGGCCCTAAACACAGTTGAAACTCGAGGATTAATTACACTTTTCGGATTTGCTGTCTACTTTCAGGCTTTCATTTTGAAGGATGCTTTAAAAATCACAAAAGTATGCAATCACAAAGAGGTGGTAAATGTCTCCCTGTATTTTTCCAGGCCTACACATCCTATGCATAATCCAGCAACCATGCTGGGATCCTATCAGAGCTCACCAATGCAGAGTGTTCATCCTGAATCCATTCCTATTCCTAGAAAAACTATCCTTCTGGGGAAAAAACACTTACACAATAATCCACATCGTCTCTAGTGCAGCAGGGGGTTCGGTTATAAGTACACTGGAGTCAATAAGAGGAAAAGAAAACAGTTTTTCAGAGGGGCTGGGAGGGCTCTTTTTTTTTTTCCCCTTAATACTAAAAAACCCAAAATTGTCATGCTGATAATGTTCTACCAGGCCTTACAAACACTGTTATGATGAAAGGTACAGACCCCAGATGTCCCCTACTGGGTGGCACCACTGAAAACCACTGAACAAGGGCTGCACGTCTTGGAATTTGTGCTCAGTTCACATTCAGGTCCACACTATCTCCTTGGAAGGCTATGGACAGAGCCAGCCCTCCTCCAAGGCCTGGCCTTTCTTATTGTCTATGAATCATGAGAACATCTCTTGACCAGTGGTTATAGGTACATGGCCCACGAGGTCACAGTGAATGCTCATGGCCTAAGGTGGGAGGGAGATTTGGAGGATCAACTGGAAAATCATTCCCACAGCTGAGCAGTTGATACCAAATCTAAGATCTGTCCCCAATCCTGAGACAGGAGAAATGAGACTGCAAGCAGCAGCAAACAAGCAAGAAAATCCTGCTTTAGATAAAAAGAATTCAAACAGAAGCTCAGGAACTAAGTGTTACTCTGACGTGATCAGCTATAGGACTGAAGTGGCAAAGCCAGGACCACCACCGAATCCTCTTAATTGGGGTGTTGAATTGTCAGAGAGAAGCATAAGTTTGCTGGACAGTTTCCTCACTATATTTTATAGCAAATATTTTTAAAGTGAAAATATATTAAAATAACAATAACAACAACAAGAATAGTGAGGAATCATTTCTAAAAATCAAGTTTGGGGGCTACCCAAGCTCAAAGCACACTGCTTCTGTAGTTTGTCCTGAGGGTATGGACAGTGACTGGCACAGAAAGAAAAAGGTCACACATCCTGACACAGACACTGAACAGGGGAAATCTGACAGGACCCAATGTTGGCTCACAAAGTCACTGCGACTGCTCTTGCGGGTGAGGGGCTTCCCCAGGGAGGTTCCTGCTGCCTAAACCCATCCTGTAATAGAAGAAAGCTGAGCATGTGCAGAGGCTTTCTTGGTCTGACCTCAAAGTAGAACACCATAGTGAAGTTTCAGTGAAATCCCCAAGCTGTCTGATTTGAGATGTCACTGGTATCAAATAAATCACATACCACTCCTTTGCTTCTATGCAGACTTTCAGAATCTACATTCACCTACTCACACAACAGCCCCTTCCCTTCCAATCTCAGATCAGACTACCTGTTGCAGGAAAAGCAATGTTTGAAACTGCCTCAACTTTGACTAGCATGGGATCTTAAATAAATTCCTTAATTCATCTGAGCTTCATATATAAAATCGAGCAATCCAATTAGCTGACTTCCACGCATCAATCCATAAATTATGTATAAGCTTGATCTATTTCACAAAATTATCCGAACAAAAAAGAAAGCATGTGAAAGTGCTTTATCGAAGTGTAAAATAGTACTTCACAAATTTGAGTTACTATAAGAAATACTTCTTTTAAAAAGTAGAGCTGTTAGCCTTAAAATAATTCAGTGAGGTCATTTAAGAGATGGACCAATCTGCACATTCCAACCAGATGCCCCTCAGCTGAGCTGCAGAAGGCAAAAGACACAGAGGAATGCAGATGTCACAGCTGTAGGACAAGGCAGGTCAGAGGTGGCAATGGAGTGCTTGGCCAGAAAAGGAAGGCAGAGTAGCTGGAGTGGGGACAGACAACTAGTGAGGGCAGTCAAGGGATTAAACAGACTGTAGAAAGGATGAGACACACATGGGAATAGGGGACGGAGCTCAACAGTCATCAGGTACACTCAGACCCTACTTTGTAACCTACCTACCTCAATTGTATAAATCCATAAATCCTCAAATTTGCAAACTGCTTGCTCCTCCAATGTGTGTGTGTGTGTGTGTGTGTGTGTGTGTGTATTTAATCTCATTTTTAGAGGAAGGCATTTTCAGTTCTGAGTTTTTAAAATATAAAAATTCTGGTTATATTTTACCAAAAAAAGCATCATTTATTGAGTACTAAATAAATCAGGGCTGAGGCATATTTCTCAATGGGCAAGAATGAATTATGTTAGAATTCTGGGCAAGACAGTTCCTTGTTGTGTCAGACTGTCCCATCATTGCAGGAGGTTTGGCATCTCAGGGCTCAGCCACTAAATCCAGCAACTCTTTGCAAACACTGTTATGATAAAAGACAGTCCATAGACTCCAAGTGCCCCCTACTAGGGGGCACCACTGAAAACCACTGAACAAGGGGGACACGTCTTGGGATTTGTCTGCCTATTCATCTGTCACTTATGAAATAGAATGGACCATTAAATTATTCTCACTTGGGAACATATGAACTTATTGAAATGAATTGCCAATTGTTTGCAAAGAAGAAATACCAAGAGGGATTTTATCTATACTTATCAGTATTTAAAAAAAACAGATTGAGATATCATAAGTGGTGGTCACCATTTCAGCAAGCAAGTCGCTATCCTCACTGAATACAACCTATAGACCAAAATTATGTCCAGCAAAAATTAGAGTAATCAATGTGATTAGGGGGATGCTGTTAATGGATGAACTTGTGCAATGCTGTCTCCTTGTCCTGCCTCCAGAAACTCTGGTTACTATTAATCTACATACACATACAAACAAAGCTCTCTCAGAACTCTTCCTCATGTTCTCAATTCATTTTGCTCCAATTATACCTAAATGTCTCCCAGGAATATTCCTCTTTCCTGACTCTAATCTTTTCTCCCAGAGTAAACTATAGGAAGTTTTCATTCCTTGTCCCTCCACCTGCTTCAGATGACAAATGATTAATTAATCTCTTGTTCTACTTTTTAAAATATTTTTTTAGTTGTTGATAAATCTTTATTTTATTAATTTACTTATATGTGGTGCTGAGAATCAAACCCAGTGCCTCATACATATCAGGCAAGCACTCTACCACTGAGCCACAATCCCAGCCCCTTGTTCTATTTTTTAAAATATATTTTAAAAATATATATTTTAAAAATAGGTTTTCTATGAATAATAGGTTTTAGTGATCCAAATGTACAAACAAGGGAAGGATCTGGTACAACAGAATTTCAAAAGGATTAAGCCAATTTTTGAAAAAAACGTATAGTACTGTTTATCTCTTTTGTTAGCTTCTCCAAAACTAAGAATGAATTCAGTATTTTGGCCCTTTAAATTCATGCCCTCCTCTTCTTACATCTCACCATTTTCAAAATACACAGTCGAAGCTCTTGCCAGGATCCCACATAAGATGCGTGAGCAGAGAAGAGGGTGAATAAGAAGAAAAAAGCAACAAAGCTAAGGGTATACTTTCTAATGTTTTCTTACACACAGTATTTACTGATCTGTATAATTATTCCTCAAAATGCATTGGTTTCACAGAACAACACTACTTTAAGGGACTCTAGAAATTTAAATTGAGTTTAAATTTTTTCCAGACTATGCCTGGCACTTGAATGCAGACTGTGTAACTATTTCCTAGCACCACTAATCCTCAACCATCTCTCCTGTAAGTGCTAAGTGTCTCCTGAAAGTAAAAGAAATGAAACATCTTTTAAATCCCCAGATAACTGTCATGGGCCCCAAAATAGGAGGCTAATTTCTGAGATTAATAACATTTCTTTTCATATCCCTAAGGGAAGACATCAGAATCTTGTGCTTAATTATTTTAAAAAGATGGAAGTAAACAAAAAGGCAATATATTACACAGAATGAGGCTTTTCTAAGAAACTGGACCTATTTGTCTGCTAACTGAATGAAAATTCATGCTGCTATTAGGCATAATTTTTAAAGATTCTATTATGCACCCAATTGCCCAATATTTCTGGATCTTACTTCCATGATTACAGTTTTTACTCCACAGGCAGTGCAGTGTTTACTTTTCCCCCAGCTGTCTTTTCATTCAACAGAATGAGGCCCAAGAGAGTCAGGGCATGGCATTTTCCAGACTACATCACCCTGCCAAGGAGCAACCCTAAGACTCCTGCCTCCCTAGGACCCATGGATTGGATCTGCTTGTGTCCCTTGTACCCTGTGATTAAGATGGACCATTTAGTCAACAGCTGCTCACTTGGTGGGAGAGCCTCATCCACCCTCTGGTACCGGCTGACATCCTGGCGCACTGAAGGTAGTGACCGCAAGGGCTGGTGACCATTGGCTTGAGAACCTAAGATTAAAGGTACAAAGTTACCTAGGTATTGCTTTCACTCTCAGTGTTAAACAGTCTTAATTAAAAAAAAAAAAAAAAAAAAAAACCTAACATCAATCCTGAGGCTGATCTTTCCGTAGTCTCATTTCCCATATGAGAATCAAGAAATGAAAAAAGAGAATAAAAAGGAGGTAGTGCTCGGAACAGGCCTCTAAAGCAATGTCCTCTGCATACATTTTTCCTCCTTTGTCCCCCTCCTCCTCCTCCACTCACCTGGCTTCTGCTCTGCTCATGCACTAATGCTTTAGGGTACAAAAAGGCCACCAGATAATGAAAGAAGCAAAAATAAAATAGGAGAAAGAGGAAATAATTTAGGTAGAAAAATTAATTATAGAATAAGAAAACCATGCTAATTTGAGTCTATCTTATTTTGGCATATGAAATAATTATCCTTTAACTTTTTAATGCATCTCTATTAAAACATTATAAAAGAATCATTCTAGAGAGCCACATTCACTGAGATTCAATGCAAATTTTATGTCCAAATTTGCGTCTTCAGACACTGGCTTGTGCTTCAAGTGTCAGAATGTATCACCTAACTTGATTGACATCTCTTATGCTATACAGGACAAAAAAACAAAAACTGATGCAAAGCACATACTAACCTGCTGCTCTGAGGTTTTATGAAGGGGGTATGACTTAGGTTTTCCTAATAACCTCTGTAGATTATACTAGGTCAAAACTGCCAGTCTATTTGGTTTTGTATCAGGACCCATTAGAAATTCATTATTTAAGTTTGAAACCTGTTGTTTGCCAGGTCTCTTATTTTAGCCACAGAAGATGTATTAAATAATAATAATAATAATAAATACTGATTTAGAACTGAGGCCTAACAAATGCCCATACATTTGTTCCCTGTTTCCAGCTCTTTCTGGTTCCATTTTTGATCTTCCCCCTCTTTCCCTTCTCATTCCTTTTGCTAACTCCAGAACCCCACAACAAGGAATTCAGGTCATATGCAACTGCAATATAATTTGCATTGAGGGGAAAACAACACAACTTCTCTCCAAGCACTGAGTCTCCTGCATCCTACCTCCAGTAGCGCCCTCCTCCTGGGCAGTGGCCCCTTCACAAGCGCCTTGGGCATCCCCAGCATCACCTTCTTCCTGAGGCTGGCTCTCAGGGGCAGCAGCAACAGCTCCCTCTAGGCTCCCTCTCCGCTGCCAGACCTCCCCAAGCTCCTCCTGGTCAGGTAATGTGGCTGAATCTGTCGCTGGCCCTTCCTCCTCCCCACTGGGCACCTGTACCACAGGTAAAGAACCCGGAGTGCATATGGGATCCTGAGACCCTTCAGCAGGGCCACTGCTGGGGGGCTCTGCTGCACAGGCCCCGTCTTCCTCTTCCTGAGAAGAAAAGGCTGGGGTTTCGGGAAACCGTGCACTCTCCATGGAGGAGCACCGAGTGTCCACTGAGGACAGCTGTGTGGTCACACTCTCATTGCAGGAGCTGTCAGCACCTTCCAGGTCACTCTCTCCCTCAGGCCGGGTGCTGGCTTCACTCACGCTCTCTGTCCTGGCAGGGTCGCTGGGTTCTGTTTCGGAGGACACCTGGGACGGCTCAGACCCCTGATCCAGGGACTCGGTCTCACTGATGGCTCTTCGGCTCCCTCCTGATGTGTCAGAAGTCCCCGTGTCCGCCCCACTTGTAGGCTGATCAACCTCTTGAGAGCCACACAACTCAGTGCTGCCCTGGTCAGCACTGGGTTGAGACTCTGGGCCAGTTTCGCTTTCCTCTGGGGCTGGGCCTGAGGGCAAGGAGCCATCTGCAAGCTCAGGAAGGTTCTCTGGCTTATCCTCAAAGGAAGCTGCTTCGTGCAGGGAGGTTTCCTCATTTTCAATGGGGTGGTCATCCTCTGGCTTCGTCTGAGATGTCAGGCTGCCATCATCAGTTCTCGATGCCCTGCTAAACATGATCAAACCACCTTCCTCCTCCAAGGAAGATGGATAACCCAGGTCTTGCTGGAACTCATGGTCTTCTTCATCAGAATCAATATGAAGCATTGCATTGAGTCTTGTGTCAGTGGGAAAACTACTCCTTAGTTTTGGAGAGGCTCCCATGGCCCTCTCAGAGGAGGTTGCTGCTCCTGGCCTGGAAGGGCCATTGTGTTCGATAGCATCTAAATAATCATTGAGTGAATCCTGACGGCCTCTGGGAGGTGAGGTCCTTGAAGAAGTAGAGGTTAAATCCTCTGTGTCTATTTCCAGAGTAGAACTAGTCCTGAAAGAATGCTTGGGTGTCCCCTCAGCAGTACTTTCCTCAGACACTGGTCCATTAGCACAAACAGGGCTGTCATGATGGCTCCCTGGCATGTCCTCGTCATCAGACGGGCTTCCTAGATCTCCGTTCACAGTACCGACTCCAAGGATCGTACCAACAGCTTCTGGCGACGCATCTGGATGAGAAAGCAGCATTTGTAAAGATGAACTAGAAATAGCAAATGAACTTTTCATAATCTTTTGTCTCGTGACCAATTGGTTCAAAGAATTCGGTCATCCCACTGAAGCCATTTGGTGGTATTACCAACTTGCTGAGTTTCAACACTCCCGACTACACAGCATGTAGCGAGTTTGACATGTGAGTTATGTATATGCTAACTCCTGCAGAAATTCTGCTGCTTAGTTTCAAAATGCAGGTGAAATTCTAAGAGACATTTTGTGATAAACAGGCTTTCCTCTCTGCTTTGAGAACTTCAGCAGGTGATTATCATATTTCAAATGATTATTTGAAAGCTATTTTATTTTCAGAACAGAACACAAACTCAATTCTGTTCAAATGCCAACTGCCCACAGAGCAAGATTTAGCAAGTGTTTATGGATGTGTATAGGCACCTCACCTTCATGGACAGAAGATGTGACTTCCACTTTAAACTGCAGGTACCCGCTCACATGATCAGCTGGGAGCCTTCTTCCAAGGTTGTAGCTGAGCATCTGATCCCTGCAGGAGGAGAAATGGTTCTCACATCCTTACTACACAGGTGTCAGCCTTCACATTATTCCCACAGGCACCCCCAAATCCCACGTATTTTCCTTTAAAATTTCAGACTCACAAGTAAAGAAAATATAAGGCACATTATAGCCCATGTGAACACTTTATAAAGCCAGAGATAAAAGGAAACCTTGTTGAAAAGAAAATTATTAGGAGAGAGCAACATGGAAACACAGGAAAGGGCCATACACAGGCAGCAGACCCAGCTGGTATGAGTAGATGGACTACTCACCTCTCCTTCCTCACCTGCAAAGGTAGGGGTGGACCTGTTGCCCCTCACTGTGAGGGAGCCTGGCAGATCACTGATTCTCAAGGCACCTTTTGAGCCATGCTGATGGGATGGTTGGAGAATGTGTCACTATAAGATCAGAGGGGTCATGTCCCCAACATGGTGCTGGAGGGATTCACAACTGGGTTTGCCCAGTTTTTGCCCAGCCTTGCTGCCAGGCTTGGTTAGCCACTTTCCTCAAGGATGAAATTCTCCGTCTGTTTCAAGACCATGTCTATTTATTGAAGTCAAATGCAATTACTTAATTTGCTTGAGTGCAAGCAACTCTTATTCTGAATTAGATTTTTTTTCTTCATTAAAAAATAATCAATGGGATAGTATCAAATCATACCATCTCTGTTCTCACACTGCCCTCTAATGGCTATTTAAGAAGGAGAACATAATGCCTCGGCCTAACATCTGCATTACTGGACAGTTTAGAGTATTCAGTCAGCTATATGGCATAACTCTGCATAATTTCTCTGTTCTTCTCTATTTCCTTAGTACACTCCTAATAGGCATTGTCTGTTTAAAAGAACACAAATTAAGTTAAAAATCCCAGTTCAGTTCTTATGAATTATTCTGATCTCAAAGCAAGACTTTCTTAGAGAGTTCTTTTTCTTGCCTAGAGATGACATTGTGATAATTTCACTTTCTTGATTGATGCTTTGATGTTTCATTTCCCATACAGATGTCTTACTGTGTGCCCTGTATTACTCTGCTGAGGGCTTTATGTGCATTATTTCTTTTCATTCTCCTAGCAAGCCAGAGGTAATGGTAGCCCTGTTTTCTAGAGGAGGGAACTAAGATGCAGCCAGTCAACTATTAAGTGCCAGACCTGGGAATAGACACAGATTCATCTGACACAGAAGCCCCCCCTTGGCAGTCACTGCACCTCATTTTACATACATCTCAGTGATTCCAGACCGGTTTCAGTATCACACATCATAATGACATATTGCCTTGTGGGCCACCTTGATTTGAATAATATCAATGCTTTTTCTATTTAAACTGGTACTTTACAAAATTTCTTCTGTAAAGTAATGCAAAGGCGTCTGCAACTATTAGACACTACAGGTATGTCCAAAGCCATTTAGAGTATCCAAATAACATTATATGATGACTATTATCTGCATAATGACAGGGATGTCTTTTTCTTTTCTTCACCACTATTGTCCCAATATTTAGACAGTGCCCAACACACAGAAATGCTTGATATTTGTCCACTAATGCATGAGTTGGACCTGCTCTCAACTTCGCTGTTCACCCATCTCTTTGGAGACTCAGTCCTTTAAAGATAAAATCATCATTTCTGGTTTAAAAATAAATCAATCCTCCTCTCCTCCTCCTCCTCAATCAATAAAAGCAAAGTGTTAGTGTTAATGATGAAGATTTATAAAACTGATGAGTTTTATTTAGGAAATAAATATTTGTAAGAACTGTAAGGAAAGGCTATATCTATCTGTTTTGCTCACTATCTCCTCTCCAATGCCCAACACAGTGCTTGACATTTAGTAGGCACGTAATATATAATTATGTACATATAATAACATATATATGTGTGTGTATATATATATATACATATATGAATTAAACTAATTAATAAGTGAGACTTTTTTACTTGGAAAATGAATTTTAACTGACAAGATACTCAACTATTCAACTTGTAAGTACAGGGAACCCTCCCTATTCACTGTAGATTCTGAGCCCAGAGTTTCCTCATTCACTGAGTGCCTATCCAGGGATTCAGCAGCTGTGCTGGTCTTGCTCACCCTGATTCATTCTGTTTCTCACTGTCATATATAATTATAAAAGAATGTGTTATATATTATTATGAAAAAATGAGTGCAAAAACATTCTCACTAAGACAGTCTCTTACTAACATAATCAGAGGAATTGACAAAGCATAGGAGCGTGACATGCCTTTTGGAAGGAACAGAAGTCATGCTCTGGTAAATGTCATGTTCAAACAAACATTCTTGAAATAGGTTATTAGTAAGGAGTTCTAGCTCATCCTCTACAACTGCACCCTGTAAAAGTTCAACAATTTCAAAGAGCAGCATGCTACCAAATGCCTAACCAATCAAATACAGCATTTTTCAAGAGCTATCAATTATTTGATGGAAAACAATAATCATATCAGAATATAGATTTATATGTAACAGCTAATATGCTAATATGTAGTATCATTGCAGTGATTTTAATCTACTTAGAAATAATCCATGATCCTGATATTTTATGAATCCATGTTGGACTTGCTTCTAGTACACATAGAATCCAGGACTGGTAATTCTCTGGATATTCAATTCTTTAAAAGAGTAAATCAAAAGCCAGAAAGTGAATAACATTTTCAATCATGAGATTCTATTTTTCCTTGTTTGTTATTGCTGGCATACATAAAATTGACACCACCAAGTGTCATATATATTATGTAAATTACATGATTATAATTATATAAATTAAATGATAAATATGTTATATTCACTGTACTCAGTTCTCACTCTCTATAATCTTTCACTTTTTATAAATGCTAAAAATAATTTTAAAAGCTTTCCAAAATATATCTACTAGAAGCTCTAAATGTTATTCTTAAAAATAATTGAGATTTCTCAGCTTTCATCAGGTAAGTCAGGTTGTTAGAATTTCATATAATCTTCCGACTTGCTATGGACGGCTCAACCACAAAATCCACTGCCTCTGACCATCAAGAGGATTAGACTCCATTAGAATCTCTGAGTTTTGGGCTTTGAAGGGGCCTTAGAGATTATGTGGTCCAAATGTTTTAATTTTCAGATGAGAAAATTAAAGACCAAGAAAATTGTGATTTGCCAAAATCAAAGAGTTGATTAGTAGCAGAGTGAATATGAAATATCAACTGTCCAAAGGTAACAGTAATATTACATTATAGCCAGTCCTTGAGACGTTTCAGAGACACCAGGTTCTTTCTATAGCAGATGGATCCGAACTCAAATCTCAGCTCCACCATCTGCTTATTAGCCTAGGAGTCTTCTCTGAAATTAGTATTATTACATTAGCTACCTCTCATTGCTGTTGAGATTACATGAGCAAATGAGTGTGATATACTTAACCCCTGACATACAGTGGACTCCCAGCATCTTAGGTGATTATTGTTACTCCTAATTACTACTGTTACTTCTGCTGCTACCATAACCACCACCTCCACATGTTCAAAATGTTCTTACAGTAAAAGAGGTACACAACCAGATGCCTCTTAGTGTCATCTCAGAGTACATGTGTTAGAGTCTGCTGGTGCTTACCATGTAAAACCATGTTCAATATAATATAGAATGGAAACATGCTATGATTTCTTTACTCACAACTTACTAAAAACTCATACAAAGAAAAGCATGGATCACATGTTAAGATTCTGCATATGTCTAGGAGCTTACTATTTTACCTCCTTATCTAGGTCTTGTTTTGAAAGGCCACAAACAAGATTGCTTTTGTTTTTCAGAAATAATAGCTTCTCCAGATGGGCTTAATTAGGATAAAGTAAGTATCCTCTGACACTAAATTCTGCTCTAGGGAGAGTTTTATAGACAGATTTCAATACATTAAAAACACAATCGAACACTGAAATATGATTCTGAAATACAAATGGTATGTACATCTTGAAAAAGATATAGATGCCAAGAAAAAAAGATACATAATTATAATGAAGTGCTATTGACCCTGTATACTTTTAATAACTGTAAAGCCACTTTTATTTTTAAAAGAATTATATTATCACTTCTTGTCAGTAAGAAAAGTCCTAGGGCTACCAAGTCATTTCTGTACAAACTTATCTCAACAAGATCCCTAGAAGTCAGAGCTGATTACCCAATGGCTTGTCGCTCCAGCAACCTCTGGACTGGAATGGTTAGTTTCCCCAGGAAACGTTTGATAATAGGACGGCTCTTGGCAAACTTGTCTTTAATTTCAATTTCCAGGACATCAGTTAGAAGTGCAAAAAAGGAATATTTCTGAAAGCAAAAGCAGGGAACATGTTGGTTCAAAACAAGGACAAATATAACACTTTACAGTATAGGAAATGATCTCTCTTAAATTGTAATGATATATGGGGTCCATATTACTAGAAAAATCTATGGCTATTGTGGATCCTGTATTTTGATATGTGCTGGATTAGAATGAACTGAAATATTTTATTAATAGCCATTTAAACTCCTAATCTCATGGGATTTTTGAAGTTGCAAAACATAGTTTATAATATTCCTTCATTTAGTGGTTAAAGTAGGAACATCTATAGAGTACTGTGGTATCCCTAAAAAGAATTAAAATAAAACAGTTTTTAAATGGAATTATTACCCAAGTTTAAGAGACACATGGGGTCATTTTTTTCTTTTAACAGATGCATTTTATTTACATAATTTATGCCTTCACACAGTTGGCCTTTCCCATCTTTAGGTACCTCATATAAGGATTCCGCCTACCTCAGTTTGAAAACATAATTAGGTCTACAATGGTTGCAACTGCAACAAATATGAACAAACATTTGTTTCTTGTCATTATTCATGGGGTCATTTTTTCTGGGACAGAAAACAAAAACAGAAGTTAAGATAGGCTTTGTTTTTATTTAAGAATGTCATTGGGGAAATCTAAATTGGAGTTGATAAGTATATAAAATAAATATAAAAAGCTTTACTAATTTTATCATTAAGATGGGAGGAAGGAGGCATGGGGAAAAATGGAGAAACTGATGCGGCAAAGGAGAAGGAGGGTGGGGGCTTAGGAAAGATGGTGGAATGAGATGGACATCATTACCCTTGGTACATGTATGACTACACATATGGTGTGATGCTATATTGTGTACAATCAGAGAAACGAAAAGTTGCGCTGCAATTGTGTACAATGAAGCAAAATGCATTTTGCTGTCACATATACCTAATTAATATAAATAAATTAATAAAAAGATAAAATTTCCTTTTTAAAGCTGATATCAGAATAAATAAAAGATAGGGCCAGAAAACTAACCAAAATATTGTCACTCTTTCCCTGACGGAATCCACACAACTGCAGTGATGTGAATAGTGCCAACCAGCTTGGTGCTTAGGCACCACAACGTTTATTTAGTCATAACAATAAAAGTTCTCTAAGGGCCAGGCAATTTGGCGTCTGCTTTATGGAAAAAAGCACTTACTTAGAATGAGAAAGCTGAATGCAAGCCCCATTATTGCCTCTTGAGTAGTTAGTCACATAAACACTCCAACCTTTGGTTTATTTGATTGCTTGATTGATTATTTATTTTTAGTACCAGGGATTGAACTCAGGGGCACTCGACCACTGAGCCACATCCCCAGCTCTACTTTGTATTTTATTTAGAGACAGGGTCTCACTGAGTAGCTATTCATTTATGCTGAGGCTGGCTTTGATCTGGATCCCCCTGCCTCAGCCTCCCAAACTGCTGTGATTTCAGGCATGCACCACCACACCCAGCAAGTTTTGGTTACTTAATCCAAAACAGAGAGATGATTATCTCATCCCATAGCCTCCCCTATCAGGTTTGCACTGATGACTGCTCAAGAAAACTTGCAAATACAAAATGTTAGAAATAAAGCTATTGCTTATTACAATACCATATTCACTATGTGCCTTCTAGAGATTATATTGAGATTAATTCTGTCTTCTAGGCTTTGAAATATGTTAGATTAAGGGGTATGCCTCTAAGTATTATTTCTTATTAAGAGATCCTATGTGTAGTTTTTTAAACCATGTATAAGAATGCAAGTGATGTTTGCCTGTTCAGATAACCAGAGCAACTGCTCAGGAGACACATTTTGCTGTGTTGACAAGGATCAAAGAGCATGTCACACGTCTTCTCAAATTGGTTTTAGATCTACTGCATTATCCCTCTCCAATTAAATACCTCTACAATATTGTTAGAACATATTGCTGGATCCCTGAGAAATGGTGGAAGAGTTTATGCCTTGTTCAAACTGTAAGTAACCACATGGTGTCTTTTTGTTCATTCTCTGACTCTCCGTATTTCTAATGAGAAAACCCTTTGCTTGATATGGGCACTAGGATGACGGGTAGCATACTGTAGCTGTGAGGAAGTCTAAAATACCATCAACACAATCTGCCGTCACTCCGGGTGACAACTCTTAGAATGGCTCATGCAACAAAAATCTAGAAATCCACAAAAGATTTGCCAAAGTCCACAGAGAAGTTCCTTCAATTTGAAAAGAATTCATGTTAGGACAAAATTTTAAATAAAACTTTTACTCAGGTTCTTCAAAGTAATAATTACTTATCCTGTTCTTATTTAAAATTATGGAATTTTGTTCATGGCAAATTTCTGGCATTGATTTTAATTTTGTAAAAAAAAAAATAATTTATTAAGTCAGGCATGGTGTCATGTGCCTGTAATCCCAATGACTCAGGAGGCTGAGGCAGGAATATTGCAAGTTCAAGGCCAGCCTCAGTAACTTAGCAAGACACTGTTGCAAAATAAAAAATTAACAAAGAGGTAGGAATGTAGCTCAGTAGTAGAGTCCCTCTTGGTTGAATCCTAAGTACTGCATAAAAATAAAATAAAATAAATATACATATATACATATTTATTTCATTAAGATATTTGATTACTGAATCTTTTGGCAGACCCTTAAATTGTGTCCCTGAAGTAAATACCTCAACTGTCTTGGACCCAACTTTGATGAGATAGAAAACTTCAGTCTAATTGTACCCTCTTTCGAACAGAACCCTAGACAACTTAGCCATATTGCCCACACGCATGAATAGTTCAAAGTGCATAGAGCTCAGAAGGAAAACAATGAGCCTGGTTGACATTCTGTCAAGTAGAAGACCCCTAAGGGTCATCTTACCTCTCGGTGCCAAATAGGATTAGTGGTGTTACTGATGATAGTAGACCTTCTCTCCTGCCCATGGTGAGCACAGGTGGGGAAACTGCTCTTCTTCCCTGGCTGAATGGACATCTTAAGATAAGGGTCAGGATTGAAGAACATCCCTTTCTTTAGCCCAACTGCCCTAAGATCTTTAAAGAAAGAGAGAGAAGGAGGGAAAGACAAAGAAGGAGGAGGAGGGAGGAGGGAGGGATGGAAAAAGGCAGAAGGAAGGATCCACATATCCTGATTAGAACAACAACTCAAAGATAATTCACTCTTAATCACACAAGAGGTTCTAAACACAACAATTCGGTAAAACAACAACAAAAGTTATTCACGCTATAATTGCTTGGACAAATGAGGACAAGTGGGTTATGGCTGCAATTTCAAAGGTGGTTTTCCTCACAGGTTGTAAAACTGAAGCCAAACCTTTACCACCACCTCACACCCCTGTGCTCCCTATCCTGGGAACCTTTAGATGCCAGCAGGTGCATCGTTTACCACCTTTCCCAGAGTAGTAATTTGGCAACTGGAGTTTTAGACAGTGTCTTGAGAAAAATCCTTAGTAAATAGTTTTTTGGACAGCAACTTCCTTCATGAAAAAAAATGAATCTTTTATATACATATGGAAATGAGTTTGAATTAAGTTTAATTAGAGAGGAAGCTTCAGAGTACACATTCATGGGTGCCATGTTTAAAATGCTGTATATGTTTCATAAGTGTGAAGAACATTAGGTGGAAAGAGTGGACCAAAAATGATTCATATATGTGGGTCTTGCCTGCTATTTTAAATAGTTCTACAGATACTTTTTCTATAGTCTGTAATTTAAATATTTGATGAATGTCCTAGAACTCACCTTAGTTTCACAAATTGTCATGTGCATAAATGTCCTAACTAAAGTCTGTTTAGTGAGGAAACTGATACTTAAAAAAAATAGTCAGGCTAAAAGATACAAAAATGACAGGAACAAAAGATGGCCCTCCTGGTTCCCCAGTTCTGAGATTATCAGTGGATTAATGTAGTTCTGGGAGCTAAGCAATCATGAAAACTTCTGGAAGAAAAGAATGTAAATAACTTTCTGTGGATCAGTCTGGGGAGGTCCTAAACACTCTAGTTCAGACAGCATCAAAACCTTTGGCTTTCAAAGGGTCTCCAGGGTCATCTCATGCAAACCCATTTCTGAAAATAGAAGGTCTTTCTTAGGAGAAGAGAATTGGCCTGGAGCTGGCTGACCATAGACTCCTCCAGGTCAAACTGGAGAGGGCTTCCAATGGCTCACAAGAACTCATGGCCTGAACATATGTGAAGAAAGCAGGTGAGGACTGTCCAGTAACACATAACTGGCAGGAGAAGGAGGAAGCTTAATACGTCAGCAAATACTGAAGTATTCAACCAAAGGACCTTGTGTTAATGACACTGCATGAAATATAATACAACCTTTAGCCTGACAACCAGCAAGCAAGGGAAGAGACAAAGAAAAGACTAGACAGACACTCAGAAAAGCTGCTGTAATCTCATTGTCCCCACAGACCCTATTGCTGATGCTTCATAAACTAAGCAGGCACTATTAAATGCAGAGTTTGCACTGTACTGTCAGTTTAATAGTGCCACACGTTTTCACTTGATTTTATTTAGCATAAAGCCGCTTTGAGAGGGAAATGCAATTTACACATTTATTTTCTTGCCTTTGAGTAGGCTTGCCTTGGACTCAGAGGCAGAATGATATACTTTAGACATTAAGATCTACTTCCAGACAAGGAATTTCTTTTCAATAAATGAAGAGGAATGTGGACAGAAGTGGCTGCTGCAAAGTCTGGCAGAGCTAAGCCATTTGCAAAAAGTGTTCCTTCAAACGAAAAGCATTTCACCAGAAGATTAAGTCACTGGGATGAAAGATGTCACTGTTAGATAACCCTGATATTAAAATCTCCCACAATGAGAAACAAGACATAGTACAAACACATCTTCATTAATAAATACAATAAACTACCAATCATGTTTAATCTGATAATTTAGTTCCCTTTATCCATTTCACTTGTACTCTTGCTTCTTGCTTTTTTCTTATATATGTTTTATTGTTCATATCCATGATAGGCCAAAGAAGGACTTAAAGTCACAAAGGTATGACATGTTAAATATCCTAGTTACAGCCTTATTTGGAAGAGATTTAAAATATTAATTCAAGTACAATTTTTATTTTAGTTGTAGAGTTCAATTATTTGTATTCTTAGATAATCAAGAGTAGATAATCCTTAGATAATCAAGAGTAGAATATTTGTAGGCAACCATTCTACAATGCTTCAATGCCCTAAGATAAAAATTAGCATCCACAGTCAATATGTTACAACCAGATTAAGCTTCTAGAATTAACCTTATGGAATTGCTTTCATCTCCTATGATTTTTAGCCACTTCTGTGTATCTGCAAATGTCTGACTATATGGTAGGAAATAAAAAACAGATGTTAGGTAACCAGCCTCCATGTGAAGAGAGGTGGGATGCTAGAAGAAGTATTAAAAGAAGCATTTGGCTGTGACCTGAAATTTATTTTTCTACTTTTCAGGAAATGCTCTAGGAATTTTAACCTTCCAGATGGTCATTCTCCCATGATGAGTTAATAGCATCCCCTCTGGAGTTAAAATCACTATGTGAGTTCTATATTTAGAATGGTATCAATTGAAAGCATGAGGCAATAACTGTAAACTAAGAAACCCATGGGTATAGAGCAAAATTTCATGTTGTACAAAAGAAACTATGGTATGTTTGAACTTTAAATTTTCTGAGCTATTGGGGTTAGATAATTGTTCACTACTATAACAAGGAATTTCAGTACCTGCAGCCTCTCAGGACTACAGAGGTCTAAACAACCAAGATGTTTTCAGAAAACAGACAGATAGGGGTAGGAGAGTAGTACAACAGGATTTTAGCTGTCCTTCTAAAAACCTAGATGTTGTTTAAATCCTAAGGGTTCCAAAAAATATTATTTAATAGGCTGAGGCAGGAGGATCACAAGTTCAAGTCCAGCCTCAGCAACTTTGCAAGGCTCTGTCACAAAATGGAAAAATTAAAACCAAAAAGGACTGGGCATATAATGCAGTAATAAAGAGCCCCTGGGTTTAATTTTCAGTTAAAAAAAAAGAAAAGAAAAAGAAAACTATAATTAGTGGCCAAATTTGGATTATAACCTGCCAGTACAATTAGCATGTTGTATTACATTATATTTGAAGTATAAACTTGTGAGATTCACCAGAGAAGCAAAGCAAAAAAGGTTTTCACATGCAACAGCCTCAAAGGAAGGGGGAAGGACTATGAAAAAGCAAATGTAGCTGCTGGGAGGGACGTGAACCAGCAATGAACAGATGTGCATGCTTCAGTCATTTGTGACAATTGTGCCTTGTGGAAGAGTCTGATTTTAAGATCTCACTTTTGAGAACGTCTGTTTTCACTCACAACATTTTTTTCTGCAGTCAGGAAAAGTGGGTCTAATTTAAATTTCAGAAGCACTAGACCACAGAGCAATGAAACAAAATGTCTTACTGTGACAGACATCAGTTAGACTTTGTTGTCATACAGTCGTCTGTTTTAGAAGTCCAATTCAAATACTGATCTTGGCGTATCCTTGAGTTTAAAGCTACCAGTTCATTTTATTTTTTTAAATCAGTGGCTTTCAAACTTCTCTGACAACGACCTATGCATGAAATACATCTCACCTTTTCTACATTGCAGTACATACATAGATAGATATGTACATTTTTCATGCAAAAATTTTCAGTTTATATAAAATGATGTTTTGGCAAAAAAAAATCCCTTTGGTAGTAAACTTATATTATTCTTTTTTTTAATCACTGGCTTCAGCCAAATCAAAGGCACAGACTGAAAAAGGGTCCAAATTCATGGCTCAGAGAGAAGAGCAGTACATCAACTGTATGAGAAACACACAAGCAGCCAGAATATTTAACTAACAAGAAAAAAACCAAAAGCTTGTTTTATTCACTTTCCAATTTTTATGTATATTCCTGCACAGAAAGAAGTATACCTTGACTTTTTTTAAAAAAAAAAGTATACCAAGTCTTTAAAATTTTACTGTCTCTAACTGAAGTAAGCATAATTGTTCAAAATAATCAAAACTCCTCAGTAGAATTAGCACGTTGTGTTACAGTTTTAGTAACTACACATATAGTCCTTTAATCATCAGAAAACTTTGTAGAAGAAATCATTTCTGAATTTATATTAATGATGTAATTTCATCAGGGAAAAAGGTATACTTGAATTCCTAAAAGTATGACCAAAAAATTCCAAAACAATAAATTCACATGTTATTTATGGGATCGTGCAGAAAAAAGGAACTATCCCTACCTTTGAACTATCCCTACCTTTGAAATCAGACACTTTCAAACTAGATGCCACAATTAAAGACATTCTTACCTGACAAGGTAAAGCTGACCAGCTTCCGAGAATGCAGATTTCCTGAAGCACCTCCTTCCATGCCCTCTGCCCCCATCTGAGGAGGAAAAAAAAAAAGTATTTGAAGTGTCACATAGGTATTATGCTACCTTATCTTCCCCAGGAACTGCAGATGTTTGCAAATACAATGATTTTTGTATCAAAACACATTGCAGCTTGTCTGTAAATTTCCAAATCTTGGAACAAAGAAATATAGATTCTTGAAGCTAAACAAAGGTTCTATTTAAATTTGATCTTACCCCCAAATTCAAATAATGAGTTTTGAAATCCTTTATGAATATGAATCAGCCTATCTTATATCCTTTTCTCCTTTAATGAGAATATAGTTGACATGTAGTAAATGCACTTACATTACTAACAACATTATTATTTAACACTTCCTTAAGTTAAACACTAAACATCAAATTCCTTCAGACTTATTATGAAAACCTAGAAGAAACTAAATAGTTGATTTATATCAGACTCATCCACATGTACAGTCATCCTCTCTTGAAAAATATCTGAGTTTCCACAGGGGTGTCCTTCCTCCTTTCTAAGCTTCTAGTGGTGCTAGTGTACTGATATATTTTTTCCTAAAATCTTCCAAGTAAATTATATTTCACATGAAACCAATCATTTATAGACCACATTGCAAATTTAGGCCTTTCTCAATTTATGCACAATTCTGGCACACTGGAAGACCTTCATGATACTCTGATAAAGAAGTTCATAACACTGGAAGAGACAGAATTGAAGGCAGAATATATTCTGAATCATTGGAGAGTGGAAATTACACTTTAATTCTGAAGTTTGGATTAAACCCTCTGACCAAGATTCTTTTCTTGACCAAACTTTAATCAAGTTCCCTTGAGCCCTCTGCTTAAACTGGTGCTGATCTTGGGCTCCCATTTCCATCTTTGTAGAGCTGAGTTTTAACAAAAATGATGCTTTCAGTATACAGAGAATCCCCATTCTCCATATCTGATCACTTTAATATCAGACCAAATTCTTCATCCTCCCCTTCCCAGGTGATATCTGACCACCCTGGTCTGCCTTCAGTAAGAATTTTGTTATTCGGTTTAGCAAGAATCACCCTATCCTTTATTTATCTTGTATTTACCCATTTAGTAACTTTTCATCCACGGACCTCACATCCCCCATTCTGCTCCCCTCACTTTCTTTTGTTATATTTGTAATTGTGCCAATTCTATATTAAGGTCTCTTTTCCCTATTGTACTAGTTCCTGATTAAAATCTGCTTTTACCATTTTAACTACTGTCCAGGGCTGGTTTTAACACTTTGTCTTACCCATATTCCTTTAAAGAAATCAGACATCATCAGGAGATTAAAAACCTGCACTAATCCAAGCAAAGTTGAGAAATTCCAAAAGAAATTCCAAATATATTTCAAATTTCAAAATGCAAATTTCTACTGTCTTCTCTGTAATTCCTATACATTAGTTAGGACGATTTTGTGTGATTCTTAATTGCTTCCTGGTTGTTTCACATGTCATCTGCAACATACCAGGGTACCATCCAGGTATCTTTATTTCATTCCGTCTATAGAACCAAATCCTTGATGATCATAGATTTGGTGCTCAGCAAATATGTGTGGTTTCCTAAATTGTTTTTGTCCATTTGAGTCATCATTCCCAGGTTAACTGGGGCAGAGGCAGAGTAAGCTAGCCAGACAACTGACCACTGTGACTATTGCATCCTGCTTTCATGACTCATGACTCTAGACTGCTGGGAAGTAGTGCAGACCACCAGAAAGACAAGATATGCAGCAACCTTCCCCTTCAGGCAGACCTGAAAAAACAGGGCCTCACTTCAAATGGACCACACTGTTCAGTCAAATGTGTCACTCTAGGAACATGACACCTCTACCTGCTATAGGTACTTGTGCTAAGTGAGTTACTTGAAAAGATTCATAGCCTATCTTCATTTAAAACCAATTAAATATTATAAAAAGCAAATAGGAACAAAAGAAAAATGTCCTTTAATTCTCATTTAAAAAAGTAATTCACCAGCTGGCAATACACTACTCTGAAACAATTCTCAAAGAATTCATAGAAAAATAGTGTCCCACCTGACCTCTCTTAGATTTTAAAATGCTCATCTGAAATAATACTCAAAGAATTCAATTTTATTATTCATTCTAAGAAAGCCAGGAAAGACCAAACATTACCATTAATACAGGGACATTAGTGGTAATAAACACACTTGTACTCGGTGTTTAGAGAGATTTTAAAATAAACTCATTACACAGATTCATTCCAGGAAAACCAGAAGCCACACTGTCAACCAAGTGTTGAGACAATATGTGGTCGTGAGTGATGGTGGCTTTAATCTGCCCCTTCAGCCAAAGGATTTCCTGTTCCAAGTGACTGAAACACATACCAATGAGTATTCTCAAAAACAATAGCATCAAAATACAAATGACAGTGAAGACAATTTTTTTAAAAATCCTGATTCATTGCAAAAGGACATGTGAGAAAAGAGACCATATGATTAGGATGGTAGCACATTTCCATCCCTAGGGAGTTATTTCTTCCAGGTCTAGCCTTTGCATCTGGACATGGTATAATCATACAAGGTAAGTTTTTTGAATATCAATGTTTTTAATCAGTCATAATAATGAATACACATCATATACTTAGGGGACCATCATGCTGCTATAGAAGCACACCATTGATTCCCCAAATGATGTTTCTCAATGAGACTTAAATTTTGAACACAGACCCAAGTGTTTCAAGCTTAGTCAGAAATCTATTGACCAACAATTCTTAGTCTGTCTTTGAACCAAAATATTCCTTTATGATTGCCAGTGCTGCATCTATGAAGCTCTTAAAGTGCTCTAAAATCTGTTTTCAGCAAATTAATTATCTCCAAAATATCTATAGGCTTTAACAAAGTGATCTAAATGCAAAATCGATGGAATGAAATCAATGTTCAGTCAGCTATAAACTCCCAGTGCCTCCTGTGATATCTGGGCATTAAAATTGCTCAAGTCTAAAAGCTCTTGACTCCAGAAAATGTTTATTAGCATTACTAGTTATTGTCTATTTTCATAAGCAATAAATGGTCAAAGGTTTTATTATAACCTGCCCACTCTTCTAGTTTTGTACCTTCTCTTTTTAGAATATTAACTGGAACAAAGTCCATTCCAGAGCTTACTCTGTGACATGGCAGATTCTGTTAGTCAACAATTGCTATTCTTTTGTGACCTTTACAGTCTTAAATAGTAATGTGGGTTATTCTTTTATATTATACACTAGGTTTTCTACAATGGGGACTCAAAGATGATCTTATTTATTTATTTATTTTCTACTGTGTTATTTTTTGTTGGATCTTTTCAGTTATAATGATAATAAAATTCATTTTAATATAATTATATAAGCATGGAATATATCTTATTCTAGTTAGCACCCCATTCTTATAGATATACATGATGGTGGGATTCACTATGGTGTATTAATATAAGTACATAGAAAAATTATTTTGGATTCATTCCACCACTTTCTTTCCTTTTCCTATCCCCCATAGTCTGAGTGTTGAAGTATTTTCACACACTGTCCCCTCAGTCTGAAATGCTCTTCATCCTAAATAACTTCTATTCACCCTTCAGATTGTCTCTCATCACATCTTCTTCAGAGAAGCCTTCTTACTAATATGATTCTCCTTAAAGAAGTATCACTCAAATAAATACAATGAAATTTGATTGATATTGCTGTCCTTCACCAGACCAATAAGAGCCACAGCTGTGTTGTTCTTATCATTTCATCCCTAGTACCTGGCACTTAGCAGGCACCCAGTGGATATAAATAAAAAGAAAAGACTACTCAATTCAGAGGCACAGACACTACCTAAGACAGTGCATGGCAGGTCTGGAAGATTTCAGAATGCCATCTTCAGAGATTGCTTTCTGAATTATAGGAACTCCACCTGGTCACTTGTCTATTTCCAAAAGTGCAACCATCTATAAATGTGTATACTCATGGACACCCACACACACAATTTTGTAAGATCCTATAGTACAAAAGTCAACATTTTTTTGTTATATTCATGACCTAGTTTTTATTAATGACTAATAAAAACTGCAAGGTTTTACATATCTTGGGCCCTAAAAATCACCTCAAACCATAATCCAATCATCATATACAATGGACCCATTCATTACAAGAATGCTAGAGTTTTAAATTTGGTGTATTGAATGAAAAAAATCACGAAGTTGTTAGGAAAGTTTCATTCCAAGAACAGACATGTTTCTTTTAAATGTCCAACACAACCAGTTTCCTCCAAAAGTAAATTAGATTATCTGTTTCTTCAGTTGAGGGCCTGATAAAGAAGTTGGCTTCTAACAAGTGGCCACATTTTCCTAAAAAATATAAACAGTATCTTTAGGCACTACACCCCAACTCAGCATTGAATGGAATCCAGCACTTTGATCTTTGGGTTGGCAGGTAAAATCACCCACTATTTAAATGGTTACATTTTCTCTTTTACTCCCTGAATTCATGTAAATTAAATTCACCTAAGATGCAATACCAACATTTCCTACCAATCAGCCACCCAAACCAAGTTTAAAACCTTTTTGTGATGGGACACTGGCCACTGTTCCTCATGAGAGGGTTCCCTGCAGAGCTGCCAACACACAGCATGTTTTCCCACTGATTTATATTATAGATTCAGGTATGCCAACTTTGTAAGCTTTTTCCTTTTCTAAAACAGTGCCCACGCTGTTATGCATTTCTTTTTTCCTTGTTCATAGTAACTCTGTCAGGGATGCAGAGGCAAAAATAGAAATCGTATCCCTGCATGCACCTCATGAGGAAGCTGGCAGAGAGGGGCACTCACCATCACAGCTGGGTTCTTCACTGTGATGCAGGGGGTCGTGGCTCGCAGGGCTCCACTAATGCCATGGTAGTATTTAAAACAGATTTTTATCTCCGCTGAAAAGTAAAGGGGAAGGGACAGTATTTTAAACAATGAAAGAAGTCATGTAGGAATCCACTGAGGAAACCCATCATTCTCCTCTCAGGCAATGTCACTCTTGACTCTGTGAACAATCCCTTCTTTTCCAATCAGAGACAACAGATTATACCAATCCCTGTTTGATTTTGTATGCTCTTCTGAAACATTTGAAGAATAGCTCAAACATATCAGAAAAATGATGCATAAAAACAATATACCCAAACAGTGTGGAGATAAGAATAAAACTAGCTACGTTTATTAAGAGACTCCACAATTTGCCAAACAGTGTTATGTCTCATGTTCATGCTATTATTTAACCATCACATCATGCTTGGGAGGCAGAAATTCCTGTCAATGTGTTAGAGATGAGAAATTGAGGTTTGCTGTAGGTCAAACAAGAAATGACAGTGGGGACTAAAACCCAATCTGCCCAAGGTCCTAACCTCTACAATACAGTCAGATAGTCACTGTCAATAGAAATAAAGAAAAAAGTTAAAAAAAAAAATACAAAAGTATACCACAGTAGACTCTATGGGAATCTGTATTATTTTAATTTTCCAAATGATTTTAGTGCTGATATTAGAGATCAAATTTGAGAACTACATACATACATACATACACACACGTAGGCATATGTACATATGTATATGTGTGTGTGTGTGTGTGTGTGTGTGTATATATATGTACATATACACACATTCACTTCATGGCATTGTTCTATTAATTTAAGCTTGACAAAAAGCATTACAAATACCAATTATGGTCTTTGGAAAGTAATTACAATATCAATGAGCAAGCAGACAAAATGTGTTCAATATAAAACCTACAATCACCAGAATTTCTTTACATACAGAACATCTGAGTCTCAGAAGTGCCACGGCCAGATGCATTTTTCCCAAGGTGTCATTCTATATTGGCAATGATGCCAGTGGCCAGGCCCCAGAGAGAGTCCTGAGCTATATCAGGGAATCCCTTTTTCAAATGAATTACCAGGATCGTGAAAGCGGACTCTATATATTTTCCCAAGGAAGTTAATTTTCACTGACTTTCCAGACAGTACCCAAAAGCTTCTTACACAGGACTTGGTTAGCTTGTTTAAGAAAAAGATAAAATAATAAGAAAAGTTCCATCATGAGGTAAAATATTCAGTCTATTAAGTACATTAACCACAATCCAATCATTAATTCATAGTTCAGTTAGTATCATCAACCAAAAGATGTTTTACTATGTCCCCACCAAAATACATGCTCAGCACTGTGCCAGACTAATCCAGGAAAGGACTTTGGTCCAGCAGGTGTTTACAGCGCAGCTGCTGAGATGACAGTCCTGGGCATGACAAAGAGCAGCAGGAAGAAGAAAACAGAGACCTGGGAGATTAGGAGGCCATGGTGGAGTCAGAAGGTGTCATGGAATAAAGAGGTCCTATGAATCAGAAAATGAGATCAGAGAGCCAGGAGAGAGGAGTGCAGATGCAGGCAGGCAGCGGTGATCATGCTGAGTGTGAGGAACAGCAAGAATTCTAGCTTCACTGTGATTTTGCCTCCAGAGAACATTCCTTCAAATGATTTTCCTGAACACTAACACAAGATCTTGATTATGGGGACAGTTCATAACTGCATGAAGCTGAGCAGACCTCACTCTCCACTTGCTTTCTTCCATGACCCAACAGCACATGTTCTATGAGAACCAAGTGAAGCCACATGCACAAAGACTATCAAAGCAGCACAAAGCTCCACAGAGTTTGTGATATCCACAATTGGATTCTGTGGGTACGAGCTCATTAGTATCACTCTCTAAATGCCAGAGAACCTGCAGTCTGTGAATCTGCCTGCAGCAGCACCTCATAAATCAAATAGATGGTTAGTGCGTGAACATGACATTTTTTAATAGAGAGAAGTGCATTTTTATAATATATCTTCTCCTAACTCTCTCTCAGGTTAGAGGATGCTATCTGCTCTTTTTCTAAGGTTTTAATAGTCAGCTAGGCAAGAGACTCTGAGACCAAGGAAACTCAATTGCTTACTTCTCTTGGAGGATATTGATGACCAGGACAGTTTTGCTAACTGATCCATGTGGGGCATTATTTTATTTCTTAGAGTAACAAAAAAATCTCCAACACACACAATAATTCAGAATACATGGAACTACAAGATAAAACTTCTTATGAATTGCACAAAAGTAGGTTTTATGAATATGATCACCAAAACTCTGCAGAGTGGTGTTACAGAAGTGCAAAGCTGAGGAATTTCCACAGATCATCCTGTCAAGGCCACACACACACAGGCTGGTCACCACAGTTCTGGACAGAACCAGTTATCTGCTCCTGGATAGAAGCCAGCAGGCTCCCCCAGCAGGACATGGGTGAGGCTCTCTGCCCCTTAGTGCATAGGAATGTTCCATATTGAGTGGGACTTTTTATCTTCAAATGTTACTTAGCATTTTAGGAGATCACTCAAAAACTTTTTAAATGGTTACCTAAACGACTTCCCCTCTGAGTAAGGGAGAGAGTGACATTTTGATTAATGTATTTGAACATGTTAGTTAGGAGAAAAGGTAACTATGTAAAAGGGTGAAAAAGAGAAGTTGGTATCCAGGCTTCCAGCAACAACCTTTAACTGCAAGAGGAAAATTAAAAAAAAAAAAAAAAAAAGCTATTCCAGAGAAATACATACAAGGGCAAATAGAAGTGAATTCAGGCACAGTGACTGAGCATCCAGTTAGGGAGGAACCCAGTGTCCAAATGGCCAGCATGTCCACAAGCAGGGGAGATGGTAGACGTGGACCAAGGAGCAATGAGTGATCCCATCCTCCTAAATGGTTTCCCTACAGCTTGATGCAGCAGGCAACATCACCTCCTACTGGCCTCAAATTACAGGTGAAAAATCCAAAAAGCTGTTAAAAACCAGTAATTTTTCCAAAGAATCCACGCATGAACAGCATGTTGCCTCAGAGGGCAGCAAGCCAGGAGAAGGGTAAATCTTTCCATATTGGCCTATCAGAACTTGCTGGTGACTTGTCTAAGAGATTGTGGTCCAAGTTACATCTTCACCTCTTAGGTACCTTCTGAAAGCTGAACACAATCATGAATCATGGAAATATAGTCTGGCTTCTTTCAGTAAACTTCAGGATATTTTAGCAATAGTGTTACTAAAATAAATATTCGGTACCCTCAATTTAAATGCCCCTTTCATAAGTACAAATAAAACATCCCCAGGGCAAAAGCACAACAACCCCATCCCCACTAGAGCAGGCATGGGGAGTGAAGGGGAGGATAGGGAGGAAGAAGGGACTGTGGACAGTGTTAAATGTGTTCTGAAGTAAAGGGTTTCTGAAATTGTGATTCTGATATTGCATTGTAAAGCCACCATCCTGTTTAAATGAAGACTATATTTCTGGTCTTATATATAAATAAAGTATTTCCAGATAGATAACATGAAACTAGTAACTAGTTGACTTTAGGGTGGGGAAACTAGTTACTGGGACACAAAACTGGGAAGAGATTTACTTTCACTTATTATATCTTTTTAATATTATACTCTTCTTATATATTACCTCTTCAAAAATTTAAAAAAAAAAAAACAATCCAATTCAGTTACGTTAATCAGAGGCATTTATGCATGATTACATCTCAAGCCCTCTCCAAAAACATGGTCTACAGGTCATTCACTCCTTTCACAAAATCGTTTTGCCTCAAAGGTCCGAAGCCTTAGCTATAAGATTTGCTTAGGCAGCTCATCCTTATTTAGAAAGTCTGGATTTGCCCCAAGTTTCTAGAAGGTGACCATAAAGTTGAACCATAAAGACAGATGGGATGTAAACACCCTTCTTCCTTCAATGCTCTCTGTTTTACTAAAATAATCTAAAAAATCAGGCTAATTGTGATTTATTTTAAAGCATGATTTTAATCACTGTCCTGGATGATTTTATGAAACACTTAAGATTATAGTTCCTATTCAGAGCCCTGTTATTCAGGAACCACAATCTGAGAAAAAGTAAACACATCTTAATTCACACTTTTGAGGAAATTTGCCCACATTCCTGGTGGTATGTGCACTTGTCATTATTGCATTTCTGTAAGTTGTCTTCTCTTTAATAAGGACACCTGCAGCCCAGCCTGAAATGGAGAGGATTTCCTTGGCTAAAGCTCAGGAAAATCATTATAGATGTGGCAGAAATCTATAGGATTGAGAACTAACTATCCCAAAATATTTAATATGAGGATGGAGAATGAAAAGCACCAAATCTCAATCCAAGGGGCAAGAAGGCCCTCTGACATCAGTGGGAAAGGATTTAGAGATGGCGGCATTTAGAGTCGGGGCTCTGAAAGTAAAAACAAGAGGCTGAGGTCATACCCTCTCTTCCAAAAAGAGCCATCCTGTGACAAGTCTATTTTGAGATGATGCCAACATGAGTGCTGCCACTTAGAGAAGAGACCCTCACATAAGCTGTTTGGATTTCTACTGCTGCTTCCTAACCCTATATTCATTTCTCAAGGCTGATGCAAATAAATGTGGGAAAACACTATATAGCTTCTACAAATACCACTGTTGTGTTTTTATCCTTAATAATCACCAACTAATGTAAATCAAGTTTACTACTTCTAAACTTGCTCATCGATCCAGGATTACTGAATAGCTAAAATAGTACCTGGCATAAAGTTGGCACTCAATAAATATTTCATGATGGATGAAGAGATAATGGATGGATGAATAGAAGAAAGAGGGCAAGAGAAAAAGCAGGTATGAATGAATGAATGAATGGCCACAGTTTATGAAAGAATACATGAGATAATATAGACAATTTGACTTGCCAAGACAACTTTTGAAACTTCTTAAACTTCCGAACTCAAAAAAGCATACTGCACAGATGATCCATTCAGTTGCTGTGAGCATAAACTCACTGGAGGATTATTTGACACTCTTTGGAGGAAGCCAGTCCCCTCTCTAATGCTTAGGATGGTCGTCTCCCCAAAATTAAACTGGACTTTTTCCTTAATTCTCTTAAGTAGGGCCTAATAATAACCTACTAAGATAAGCCTGGGCCACCTACCTCCTGTGGGGGTTGATTAAACAAACCAGAGCCATCTGACATTCAGAAGTATTCTAAACAGCTCAAATCCAAGCTTGTTCAGGAATCTGGACAGATCAATTTTCAGAGGGCTTTACTTTTCTTGTACTTCCAATGAGCTAAAGATAACTTAATTTTATTTCTGAAGATGAAAGTAAAAGTTTTAAAATACCATAAGTTTTGAACATCTGAGGCTGACGATATCTACAATTCTAGAAGCTGTGTGAACATCTTCCCATTTTTTTTTTAAGTTCCACATCATCAGCTCCAAAATTTCATTATGCTATGAAGCTCCCTTAGGATTCCTCTATCCAGACTTTGGGATTAAAAACTGACATCTAAAAGACACAGACTTTACTGCTAAGTATGGGTAGAAACACTACATGATTGTTTTTTTCCACTGTAAAGATAGAGGGGTATGTCAGAGGAGAACTCATTTTGATCCTGTGAAGATAGGATTATTTGAATGCAGAATCTTTCTGAAATTCCTATTCACTATCTTAGACTTAAACTATCTTTCTCAGTCCTTCAAAACATTACTGACTATTTCCAGGCTTATAATATGCTATTCAATGCTTCCAATTTTATGTGTGAAGAATGAAGCTATGGAATGCTAAATTAGAAGAGAAAACAAAATAGGCAGGGGAACCTTACTCTTTTTTTCATTCCTAATTCCTAGCTTCAACATCAAGCGCACTTCTATTAAATAACAGAATGAGATGTAGAAAAAACATTTGCCAAGACAAATATTTACTATACTTACTGTTTATAGTATTTACTATATAGTAAATTTATATTTGTTTTGTTTACTGTTTGGTATAGCTTAATCAGCCAGGACATTATGAATCTCTAACATTTTGGGAGAGAGAAAAAAAATCAATCACAGCAAGTGGAATACTCCGTAAATAGATTTTTTTTTCTTCACATAATGTTCCAAATTATAGCAGTGTGTGACACTGGCTTTGTCCAAGGTGTTCCTGGGCTCGGCAATAAAAATCTGCCCCTCTGTCAACAGGCAATCATGGCATGCAGTCTTTAGCATTTTGAAGCAAACAGAAAGGTGGTTTTGCCTTTCTCCTGGCATTCAGCTGGTAATATTTCTCACTTAATCAGCCTCTTAAACCCTGGGATCCTTTCAAAGAAGGAATCATATTACAAGTAAAACCAGCTATTTCCTGTTCCATTTTTCCCACATTCTGACTTATTTTCCTTACCACTTAGTAGTGTCAATTAAGCCAATGTTGGAAAGTAAAGTAGAAATAGACAAGAATAACAAATCATCCATAACTCCACCTCCCAGAAACAACCTTATCCAATGTTCCCATACTTTCCTAGACACTCTTCTACTAGCTGGGATTATGGTGTGCATATCTGCTCCCCCACCCACCTACTCCCCACCTCCTCTTCTTCTTATGTCATGAACAGTCTCCCTTAGAAAATACACTCCATTTTAAGAGAAAGCTAGCCAGAACATTGGACTATGAAGACATTCCTTAAGGGACAGAAGCAGGATTAGAGAAAGTTCTGAAATGCTGATCAACCAGCAAGGATGATTGAAGATATTATCTTATACCTTTAATACCAATTCAAAGTAATAGATATTAAACTTTTTAAAAAATATTTTTTCAGTTGTAGATGAAAAAATACCTTCATTTTTTACTTATTCACCTCCATGTGGTACTGAGGATTGAACCCAGTGCCTGACACATGCAAGGCAAGCGCTTTGCTACTGAGCCACAATCCTAGCCCCTAGACATTAAACTTTTAAAATAACTTTTATATTACATTTAGATGCATCATTAAAGACATACTTGCAACAAATTTCCATTTAATCAAATTATACCTTATATTTTAAGGCTTAATAAGTTCTATCCTTAATTACTCTGTTGTATATTAAATATCTTATTGTATATTAAATATCTTGCATAGAGAAATCTTAATTCTTACACAGGGCTCTATAACTCAGAAAAAATTTTTAAAAGCCCATTTTTCGTACATTAAAGAAAAGTAAATTCTATAGACATAGATGTTAAATCTGGGCCAACTAGTAAATCATCTATTATTCATTCTTTCTATTTTATAAATTTTTATAGAATATTTAGGATGTTCTTAGTAACACTAGTGGCAAATATAAACCACCTCCATTTTACCCAAAATAAAAAGGGGAGAGATATTAATTGGGCAATGGTTACATTATCTGCAGCCTCTTTCTGATTCCATGTTAGCTGCATTAGTGATTTCCTCAATCAAAGTGCCCCCCAGACTATCTTATCAACACTTTGAAAAGACCAGAATCCAGATTGTTCTGTTGCTGGCAAAAATAATAATGAAGTATTCTAAAAACAAATAAAATTCTTAAATTGACAAAAATCCTAATTATCCTTTCTGCATCCAGAATTAATATACTTAAACATTAATTATAAATGTAGATACAAGGATATATATAAATTTGTAAAGTATTAAGATAACACATAATTTATATACCATATATTCCATAAGGTACATAAATATACATGTATTGTATATATTTATATTCACATATTTGTGTGTGTTTGTATATGTACAAATGCCTAACTCTTTTTTATTTCAAAATATGTGAACATTCTCTAATGAGCATGTTCTGAAAAACCATGTATTTTTCGCTGTGGAGCTTTATGACAGAAATATATAAATAAGAACCAAAAATATTTTTTAAAATTCAGTAAAGATTCTATAGACCTATGCATATATTTATGCAATATTCAATACTAAACTTGTGTTTCACACTCAGTTACTTACGTTCCATGAAGTAGGGCCCAGGCTCAATTCTCCACACAATTTGTCCTTTCTGTGTTCCAGTCACACCCCTGTTTTTAGAATCCCAGAAGTTGGCTGGAGAATTCTCATCTGGAAAAAATTTTAAAAACATTTTTAATTTAATTATAACCTGTCTTTTCTTAGCTCCAAGACTAATTCATGCTCTAAAATAAATAGAAAAAAATAAAAGGGAATATTAATGAACACTATTCTTAATGACTACCTTCCAGCATATTATTATTCTGAATTTCTACAGTTGCATTTATTGGGACAAGGGGTCAGGGTGAGAGATTGGAAAGAAGATGGCATTTGGGGGCTTGGCCAAGTTCAGTGTTACCAAAAGACACTACTGCAAAGAACAATGGGTATACTTGCTGCAGCTTCAGCAAGGAGCTAATTTATAAGAAAGAGGTTAGGGTGAGCTTCCTTCTATGAAATCCCTTATCAAAAGGAAAAGAAGGGCAAACTGGGATAATAGAACAGAATTCAGGATGAAATGAGGGGGCTGGGTATGTAGCTCAGTGGTAAAGTGCTTGCCCAATATGTGCAAGGTCCTGGATTCAATCCTCAGAACTTGAAGAAGAAGAAGAAGAAAAAAAGATGGAATGAACCAAAAGGATGTGAAGTTATGAAGTTATCTTCTAAGACACAACAGAAATTCTGTGTGCTTCTATGTGGAAGAATGATAGAAAGGACAGGGACCCAAAGAATAGGTCTGGAGACCGGATTTCCCAAGCTTTCTATCCTCGTGGCATATAGGAAATGGTAATATATTCAACGCACTGAGGTAGTCAGTGTAAGATATATTTTCACTTAAGATGCCTGCCAAAGATGGGCCTGCCTTGGGCTCTGCCCTAGCACCCTGAAGGCTGAAGGGGTTCATATTCTATAACTTACTCACAACATATTGGGTTACAGCTCTGCATCAAGGACCTAGAGGAAGAAATAAAACTAGAAAGCGTGAAAAGGAGAGCATTTGAAGTTTTATAGGTACATCAAAAGTGTATAGTGACACTAGTTCTTCAAATTGCATGTACTTCATTTGTTTTCCTAGGAAAAAAGATTAGAAATATACTTTAACCCAGGGTTGGAATAAAGCAGGATAAATTAAGAGCTACACTAAAATAGGAAAGGGAAAACAGATCCCGAGCCCAAAGGGATGGTCGTAACAAGAAAATCTTTGCCCTTTTGAGCATGAAAGAAATGCAAAGTGGGCCAAATTAAGGGGGTCAGAGGGATTTCTATCTGTGGTTGTCCTTGGGCCTTTGGGTTTCACCATATTGATAAGCTCGAGAACTTTGGGAGGATTGGTCTTTTCATGCCATTTGCCTTTAGCCTGTTATAAGTCAAAGAGTCTTTACTGTGAAAGGCCAAGACACAGCCACTATTCTTAAGAAAGGAAAGGCATAGCCCACTTACCGTATCACCTCCTCTCCTAGACAAACAAGGTAAGCAAACACTCCATCCCAAATCAAGATGTATAACCAAGATGCCATTATTTAGATAGCACTCAGGCAAATGTTTAATGCTGGTTTTGAAAGATGGCAGGTAGCTCTTATGGGCAGACTGCTCACTGCTTAATCATTCAACATCTTCCTTGCCAACAAAACTCCAATTCTGTTCAAGGCAACAATGAGTGCAATTAAAAATAATCACCTCTTCAGAATCCCCTAGTAGTTAGGGTGGCATGTCACCTGGTTCTGGCCAGTGATATGTCAGTGGAAGTCCACCAGTTGGAAAATATTAAGGAAAATATTACTTTCCAAGTAAATAAAGGACAGTCCCAGCATCCTTTTGCTCCTCCCCTGCCCTTGTGGAATGACAGCCATATATTGGGGATGTCAGGGAAGAAACTGGAAGCAGTGATAATTAGCTGATGCCTGAAACTACCTGCCTTTACACTTCCTGCAACCTAGGAACAAAGAAATTCCTATCTGGCTAAGCCACTGCAGCTGTGTTTCTGTTATGCGCAGATGAACAAAACTCCTAACAGATAAATCCACCATCCTAAAAACTGCTTAATGATTTAGATTCATCATTCGTGGCCTGACCTGGAATTCCTGAGAATTTTGTTTTTGGTAAGGAATAACCAAAAATAATGATTTTATTCCCTTTTCATTGGTATAATAATACATAACAGTGGGATTCACTTGATATATTTGTGCATGTACATAGTATAATTTGGTCTCTTTTACTCCCCTGTAACCTACCTTCCTGCCTCTACATCTCCAACCTCTACCCTACTGGTCTCCCTTCTACTTTCAGGAGATCCTCTTTTTTCCTTTTCTCCTTTTTTCTCTCTAGTTTCCACATATGAGAGAAAACGTACAACCCTTGACTTTCTGAGTTTGGTTTATCTCACTTAGCACAATATTCTCCAGTTTCATCTGTTTTCCTGCAAATAACATAATTTTGTTCTTCTTTATGACTGAGTAAAACTCTACTGTGTACAGATACCACATATTCTTTCTCCACTTTTCCAATGACAGACATCAATGTTGGTTCCATGACTTGGCTACTGTGAATTGTGTGTGGCACACATGGCTTAAACTGTCACTGAAGTATGCTGACTTTAATTCTTTTGAATAAATACTGAGGAGTAGTATAGCTGGATCATCTGGTTGGAAACCCTAAGAGTGCATGACAGCTTCAGGCCAGAAACAAAGATGATTGCTCCACCTTCTGAAAGATATTTTAATGGTCTGAACTACTTGGATAAGGACAGGGCCTCTCATATGTTCACAAATAAATTTACTTACAAGCTATTGGTCACTTGGAAAGCACAGGAGGTTAGACCCTCCAGGGAACAGAACACAGGGACAGCAAGTACAAAGTATCTACCTGTCCAAAAGTCTTCTTTTAAAAAACAAAGTAGTGATGAATATGGACAATTTTCTAAAAATATTGTTTTGCCAGTTTCCTCTTGAGACCTCAAGAAAGATGAGGCAGCTTCAATCTGTTTTGAGTACCAAGCATGAGGATCACTATGACTAAAAGCACCCATAAGAATATGGCACTTGTTGAAGTGTGCTTCTGTAGAAGTGTTTTCTCCCCAGTCAATTAAGCCAAACTAGGTACTCACTTCTGAGATAATAACCTTGGGTCACTGAGGACAGAATGCAAGGGCAGTAGTAATTGATGAGAAGAATTATTCTAGGAGGTCTGAGGCCAGGACAGAGGAGATCCCCAAGGTTAACAGATCCTTTAAGATTCCAGGAAGGGAGCTGAGACAGAAAACCACCATTGGCACCTGTTGTCCCAGAGGGACACTAACATTTTCTTTGCCAGTCATGGTTACTCCAAGGTAGAAATGCTGCATTACCTGGATATCCCTACTTAGTTTCACAGAGGAAATTAGGGAGAATGAATGATGTGATGCTTCCTTCCTTCCCAGACACTTCTCCAAGAAACAAGTCTAGAGTTCAGTGTTCAATTTATCTACCAGCTCAAGCATATTAGGATAAACCATAAAGCTCGGACTTCAATTGCCCTACTTCGTTTATAGCCCATTTGATTAAATTAATGAGTTAAGGAAAGAGAGGCTGAACCCTTAAAATCAAACGTCTATGATGTAGCATGAGTATTCAGGTTCATCCAGAACACAAAAGTTCCATATATGATGAGACACAGGTTAGAATTAGGATGAGCTGACATGGAGCACAGCTTATGGATATGATTCAAAAAACAAGTCCAAGTGCCACAGCAAGAGATCATCCTTCAGCCTTCATGGAGAAGGAAGCTTCAGGGTTATTCCCTGCCAAGTACAATGCTTGTCAAGTAGAAAATAACCATGAAGATTAATATTCTGGTTAATCTACATACATTTCACTTTGATGAGTTATGTTTCCAATAATTCATTATCCTTGACAAATATAAACACTTTTTCCATCAAGTGGCTGCTAATCTTAATTGCAAATATAAAGTCACTAGAAATAAACCAGTTAAGAACAATGAGTTTGAATTCTTTGCATACGAGTAGAACAACCTCAGCTGTTACTATCACTCATAGGGCTGCTAGCTAGTGGAACCCAGGCCACCATGGGCATGCCATGCAAAGTATACCTAGTATGACTCCTTCCTTTGCTTTGTTTCAAGAAGATCAATCTAAATTGCTACTTCAGGTTACAACTTCTTCTTCTTGGTAGGTTAACCCCGTTATTTAAGTTGCAGTCAGTTAGTCTAGCCTGAGAATATATTTACAGTGATAACATTTCTCTGCTCAGATCTTTTTTTCAGAGATTTTTGAGGACAAAGTATGTTTTCTAGATTGTGTATGAATTGTTCTTCTTTTACCTCACTTAACACCCATATTAGGTGATTGTGTTTTTAAAAAATGTCTCTACCTAAAGAACAACTGAGTATAAAATGTTACACCAAGGAAAGAATTCTAAGACCCCTACAAGTGTAATGTAGAAGTAATTATCAATCTGTTTCTTCCAATCACTTGGGTAAATGTTCTGAAACATTAAAGAAATATCATTGGCCTCTAAAACCAATTACCCATCATTCCATCTATAACTGGCCACTTTCCTTCCTCATTTCTCTTAATAACTATTCCAAATCTGACTCCTTCCTAATTACCCTCTAACTTGCAGCAGGCTGTGATACATCCTAAAGAACCCACTTGATGGAGGACATTTGGCCTGACCTCTCGTGGCTTTTGGTCTCCCTACTACCATTTGTTCCTTACTCATCTGTACTTCTTACTTTCTTGCCCAGGGTTTTTTCTATTCCCCAAATTGCCTTTGACACAATTCCCTCCATCAGTCACCTTCACTCACCTTAATCTTTAACCTGTCCCTCTACAGGGACCTCTGCTTCACTAGAAACACATCAGCTTCATGGTTTTGTCTTCTTTGAGCATTACCTTCTTTGCCCCTTTCCCTTCTCACTCCTAGTTCCCTTCCCACTAGGATTAAAGTATCTGTTTTTCAGTTACAATAGAGTCTATAATACAAGGGCATATATTCAAAATACCTGAGTAATTTCCTAGCTGGAACAAAATTACAATAAAAGGGATGTTGAAGATGTTTAAGACATACACATAAATGTCTTCTTGAAGTCTTATTGTATTTGGTAGGATTTATACA